CTGCTATTAAATTAGCTCCATTGACAGGAGAAACATTGAAAAGGTAGCCAACCAACCAGCCAGCCATGGACTATTACTACTACTACTCATATGTTTGAATACGTGTATATGGACAACATAACAAGATTTCAGAGTGGAAAAATGAACAGAAAAAAAGAAACTTCCCATTTGCCAGCTTAATATAGGAAGGAAAATAAAAATTTATTACATTTAGCACTACTGCAGGACCTTAAGGCTTAAGCCTAAGTGTATGTGTATAATAGAAATATGAACAAAAAAAAAACAAAGCAAAGCAAAAACCCCAAAGTCTGAACTCTTTTTATACCATTAAAACCAACTAGTAAATGATGTCCCATAAGATTTACTTAAAGTACCATAAACATTTTGATTCTTACACGTACACATTTGAGGTTAAAATTAGGAGTTGAAACTAACACATACATAACTAACTACATTAACATGTATACATACACACATATACTACATACAATATAATCATTTGTGAGGGTTTAAAATGCTAAAATAGCAATAAATGTAAAACCAAACGATAAAACATACTTATGTATATGAATACACACGTTTACACTAGCTACACTTCTAACAATGTTTACGTATGACTATGGTAGTGTGAATGTCAACTTTCCAAACTTAGTCTTAGGTCGGACGGTCTCTTTCGTTTTTTGCTTGTTTTCTATTTGTCCTTTAGGAAATGATGACGATTTTTAGATGGGTTTCCTATGATTTTGGTTTTTTTATTGTTTGTAAAAAAGGTAATTTTGTTATGGTTGCTTTTATGTTTGTAACAAGGCTTTCACTGTGAAAACTGTTTAAAATTCAAATTTGAAAATTTTCAAATATTCGAAAAAGGTTGTTTTTATTGCCAAAGTTATTGTTACATGTTTGTTATCCAGCCTACACTCGCTCAGCTTAGTTTAGCAGTTTTTTTGTGTGTTGTCTATGTGTTTGTTTGTTATGTTGTTGGTCTTGCTTCGTTTTTGTATTATTTTCAATCTGTTTTTTTCTAATTTCAATCATACATGAGCTCCAAAACCATGACTGTAACGTACAAATACAACCTAATATCATCAAGCAATCACTATTAATGCTGCCTGCACATAACAATGAAGAACATACACACACACACATAGTACGAGGGCAAACTGAGAAGTCTTTTAATAACTTTTTTAAGTTTTAAGTAAAGTCGCAATTTGTTATGTATTTTCATAATTTGTTTTAGGTATTGTTGATGGTTTATAAATACGAGGGTTCATCTTTAGTGGATTTTTTCTAGTTGAAATACTTCTTGAGTTTTTTCTGATTGACCTCGTTAATGACAAACATAAAACAAAGCTATTTTTGTTGTTATTTTTTGAAAGTGTGCGAGTGTCTGTGTGTGTTTTTCAGCTACACGTCTGTTGACAGATAATCCTAGTCATATGACTAAACAGGTTTTATGCCATAAATTTTGGTTGTATGTCTATATTTTGACGTTTTTCTTTCTGCCAGTTTTTTTGTAATTTGCATTTAATTTTATTTCATATATATTTTATAGGGAAAAGTTTATTTTCGTGCTCAACTACACACACTCACAAACACTCGTAAACATTTCACCAAAAAAATCGCATAAAAAAAGATACAGGCAATATTTCAATTCCTTTGAGCGCCATCAGTTTTACATTGAACACCAACTGATTTCTAACATGGTGAGGTTAGAAAGGGGAGCCTAAAAGTAGGCTAAATTTATACTCATACATACGTACAGATGTGCGAATATTGCTGTGTGTGTTCATATACATATGAAATGGATAAGGTCTAATTCATGTATGTTTTTGGAAATAAACTGAAAATAGACAAGGGAAGAGGAGAATTCTGCCACATAAAAGTAATGCGGTTATATGCCCAACATACACAAACACATATTCACACACTCGCATAGACAATACTATATGTGCGAGTAAAGTGGAACATCAAATGTCAAAAGTTTAATTTACAACGTTTTGTGGCAAATATGCAATTGAAAGCAGGAAGTATGTGTTAAGAATTGAATTTGCCAAAATTGTGTGAATATATGTATGTATGTATGAATGCATACATAAATATGCATGTGTGAGTTTTTGTGCATACATACATATGTATGTGTATGTATTTGGAATAAAAAAGTCATAAAGTCTGCAATATATTTGTTTAAGAAACTTGTGAGATTTTGTAGTTTTCAATGCAATTAAGTTACCTACACTTCCCTTTCCCCCCACTGACAGCCATTGACTTTCTCTTCGGTTTGTTAGCTAGCTAGTTAGTTAGTCAGAATCTTGTTAAACCGAACAAAATTTAGGAAAAATAAATAATTTGAAAATTATTATATTATGTATGTATACATGTGTATGTAAGTTTTATATGAGTTACAGGATTTTGTTAATAAATGCCTGGGACTATATACTATGAAAAAGTTTAAATATAGTATAACGGATATTGAGAATGTTAATGGATACAGTTTTTTTTTTTTTTTTGTGTTAGGTTCTCTTGTAAAATTGATTACTCTCATAACCGGAGGCAATTTTTCTACATTTTACTGGTACACATGTATAGAATGCATGTATGTGTGTATTTTTTTAATTTTTCGGTCTTATCAAATTTAATTTAAAAGTACTTTATAAATTTTAAATAAATATCCTACATGAACACAACATACATAAACATGTTTAGCTTTTCTATCAATCAAATATGTGTTCATATGTATGTACAATAGAAGGGCTTCAATTGTAGGGAGATGAGAGAAAAGATAAATGACATTATTGAGTTAACTTAACAACGTTATACATCAAATAAATTATTAATATATTTTATTTACGATTAAATCCAAACTTCAATATGCAATCCCCTTTAGCTTGGCTAAAGTAAAGCTAAAGATAATATCAAAACCACTATTATCAAATGACAACTGAAGTCATAGCAGCGAAAAAGGCTTCATGTCCCTGTGCAAAAACATTAAAGTAAAGACACAAGTGGCAAGGTTAAAGAAAAATCTTATATGTTGATCTACCATATTATCAATATGATCTTAAAAATAACTCAAAAAATAAAGCTTTACAACAATGTGTATTAACAAACTGAGAAGGAAAAAAGAGGAAAAAGATAATTGAGTCAAATATAAATTCAGTTTTATACCAATATAATCAACCTTTCAAAGCATCGACAACTTTTTCAACAACCCTCCTAATATGTACATGTGTTTAGGTTCCACTTATAATATTATTATATTGTACACACATAATAATTCTTCCAGTTAAGAGAATTTTAAATAAAATATAAAAATTTTCTTAGAAATAAGGTAAGCAGAAGAAATTGAACATATAGAAAGAATTGAAAGCAAACTAATTCTTTCAACACACAATGTGACCATTTATAAAGAGAAGGAAAAACTTATCTTTTCTGAGAAAAAAAAAACAACCACATTTTTATATTGCGTATTCTAAGATTTTCCATAAAAAACGTACAGAATATACATGCAAAAATTTTAATATTATAAAACTATTAGTTTCATATTATATGGTTGTAGTTTTAGTTTGACTTTATTTCATAATTTCAGAGTAAAAGAAGTGTTAAATACATGTTAATTGTCTATTTTTCTTATGAATAATAACACCTAGTCAAAATATTTTCTCGTTCTCATTAGTTTTTATGTAAATTTATATAAATAGCTGCAATTATGCTTAAAAGCAAGTTTTTAGTTCATACCACTCGTACTACACCACGTATACTTAATAATTATATTTTTTATACGAAGTCGTATTCATCATACGCCAAGTGTTACTAATGCAAAAGTTACTTGCTGAACAGTCGTAATTATGCATAGTGGGAATTAACATTACTATTTTAAAGCAGACTAAGTGAAAATTTATTTCATTCAAGACACGAAATAAACATAATTTTAAAGAATTTGGCAGAACTAATTAGAAATTTTAATGAATAATAAGGAATTTTATTCAATGCAGACATAGTTGAATGACACAATTTTGAAAAAAAAAATCTTTATAGTCAGATTCGAATTTTTCGGTTGAAATGGATTTTTTTTCTTACAGTCATAACTTATACAAAGGAAAGTGTTATAACCGGAAATTTTTGTGTTTTGCTTTAGTATTGAAGTTAAAGGAAAATCCTGTTATAAAGGCATTAAAACTTGAAGCTTTATTTGGTGTAATAAAGATTAAATATCTTTAATAATTACGTTAAGGTTTAAATCGATCAGTGACAAGTTATCACTCCTACCAAAGTACTGCAAATTTTCATGTCCAATTCAAGACCCTTGGATTTAGAAAGGTTTAAAATCTATTATACTATGCGTCTTAGATAAGAACGAAAGTTTTCATTAAAAATTTTATGAAAATGTATATTTAAAAAATGTAACTAATCTCTTTAATTTCAAATAAACATTTAACTATTAAATATTTTTCAAAACTTTAATTGAAATGCCAAAACATGTTTTTCCAACTTTGCAAAATTTTAACAAAAGCAAACAAATCTCTATTAAACTGTACTAGATTTGTTCTCTGGTTTTCCTTTTCTCTATAATTAACTACTTTTTCTGGCAGAACTCAATTAAAACTTTATTTAAAGATAAATTATTATGAAAAATATTTCATTTGAAACCAAAGTCATTAAATGCACTCTACACCACGATGATAAATGTTAAAATTAACTAATACAACAACACTGTTCATAAAACATAAATATCAAAAAAAAAATATTTATAAATTGAAAGAAATAAAAACAACAAACTCTAGTCTTTAAAGCCAAACTATAAGACTCTAAAATAAAGGATAATTAAGAAAAACGAAACCTCAATTAAATAAGGTGGGTGTGTAAGGGATCTAATAAATCTTCACACACACACACACTCTCACTGCATAAAATCCAAGAAAACCAAGAACAACAGCAAAATAAATAAAACTTAAAATAAATTAAAAAACAAAACTTATACTGATTGTACAAGTAGTACTTACCTACAAAATGAATGGCGGTGACACAAATCGCAAAATCTACGAAAACAAAAGTAGCAGCAGCAGTGACAGCAGTGGCAGCAGCAAAGGCAGTGCCAACAACATTTATATTATGCGAGTAATACGAATGAATGCTGAAGATGTGGAATTATAAACGAACACAATTTTTACACATACATATTTTATTTTCTGTTTTCTTTCACTCTTTTTATATTTGTTTTCGGGTTTTATCTTAAACTTTTTGTTTTGCTTAAATAGTTGTTGCTATATTTTGTATTTATTCTAGTTAGTAGTGATGTTGTTGGTGTCGTTATCAGTCTACTTTAACTATGGCTTATACACTCTACCTGTGCGTAAGTTAAATGAATTTATTAAAGGATTTTGGTTTGGGAAGCAATGACAGCTATGATAACAGTAAATGGTATGCGGTGATAACAAACAGTCCGTAAAACCATCCCACAAAAAAATACATAATTAACTTTTGTTGTTTTATTTCTCTCTACAATTTGTTTTTGTGTTATAATTTATTTAAATGTTGTTATTTTTATTTTATTCTTTTGCTTATTTAGCCTCTTCTTTTACTTATGTTGTTGATTTATGGTGATGCTGTTGTTGTTTTTGTTAAAATATATATTTTTTTTCCTGTTCTCTCTGTTAAAATTCTCACTTACACTTACAAGCATATAACATTCTATTGACTTTTACAAGTAAAAAATTTACACAAACTCACAACATTTTTGTCTATTCATGCCACGAACGAAAAGAAAAGTCCTTTTTTTCTTTTGTTTTTTTAACACTCTGTGATTTGAGGCAGAGCTTTAAAGCGTAAAATATTCTTAATTATTTGTAAAAGATTTGAACAGACAAATTTTCTTTCTTTTTAATTATTTATTTAAAATTAGTTTGCAGCATTTTTTTATTTCATTATTTGCTTTATTATTTAAAAAATAATTTGTTTTCTTTGTATAGTACTAATTTGTTTAAATTCTCGTTTGTCTCATAATTGAAATCAATTTTGTTTGTATCTGGTTTTTCCTTTGGGGTGGTGTCACACAAAAGCCACTCACTCACATTTCCTTTACGAAAATACGCACAGACACACATGAATTCCTATACAGAATTCTTGCTCGAAATACCGATACAGCATGATTCTTTTGATTAACCGTTTTCTTTACCAACAAACTAAATAAACAATCAATCGATTTTAAATGAATTTATTACTAATAAAAACAAAAAAATATGTGTCTACCAACAAATTGGTAGTATTTTCTTTTTATTAATCCTTTGGATGGTTTAATCCATTACAAGTGACTTGTTATAGTAATGGAGCATATAAAATTGCAATTAATGACTTTTTTTCTTGACACATACACTCAGTTTCCGTTCGTTTGTTGGTCCAGCAAAGTTGAATGAAAGTATACGACTAAGTAAATGATGCTTTAACTGCCAAGCATGTTAACAGCATAGAGTCGGCTTGTATGTGTTTAAAAATACAGATACGAGAAAATGGAGCAAAATGTAGACTTGTCAAGAAACAGTTGAAATTAAAAGAAAATAAAAGAGCAAATTTTGTTAAATAACGGTCTATAAAAAAATTCCAGTCTACAAAGACGTATACTTAATATTAATAATGATTTCATAACATTTAGCTTTTGAATATATCAGAAATAACAAAGTAAATAAAAAACACAACTTTTTAAATGTTAAAACAAATAATGTCTTAAATATGGAGAAGATATTAAACCATTAACGTAATCATTATAATTAGTTATATTTTAGTAAAATTTAATTTAAATTACTTTCAAGAAATTAATTTGTTTTTGTAATATTCATATGGCATCTCTGTTAAAAGTGTCATTTCTCTTGTTTTCGTTTTTCCCTTTTTGACATCTGCTTGCAAATAGCCAAAACAGCTGTTACTACCTTTTGCCGTACATTTGTTTTGTTTACATTTTGCTATAAATACAATTTTTGTGTATATTTATTTGCAGAAAAAAAACAACACATTTCATTTGTTATTTATAAATTTAGCACATTAGCATAAAAAAGTACGAGAGAATGACAGCGCCAAGTGTTTTATGAGGTACGTGCGCATCACTTCATCACAGGTAAATATGATAGAATGCTAGTTTGATTTGATTTGTTGCCAGGAAAACAAGTGCTTTTTGTGCAAGACCAAATACATAACATCACTACTAAATGCCTTCTCATAGAATATTTTCCAAATCTTTAATACAATCCTACGAGTCTTTAAATTTTAAACCAACCAAGGACTTTCGTAAGGATGTAGTAAAAATGAAAACGCAAACGAATAAAACTATTAAACGCGGTGATCGCATTTTGACGGAAAAACCTTTTGCTTTTGTGTTGAAATCAAAATATCGCAAAGAAAGATGTGACAACTGTTTAAGCAGGTTAGTTTTACAATAAAAAATAACATTTAAAAAATGATTAACAAATTTTTGTTTAAAATTAGTACCAAAGTTTTGAAATGTTCCAACTGCCATTATGTTTACTATTGCAATCGTGCCTGCCAAATGGAGGCCTGGCCTTTACATAAAATCGAATGTCCATTCCTTAAACGCATTTATCCCCGTACCGTACCAGATGCAGCCCGTATGTTGTGCAAGTTGATAATAAAATTAAATAATGGTGGTGACTTGGAGAAAGGTTATTATACAGAAACTTGCTTCAGGAAATTTAGAGATTTAATGTCGCGTAAGTTTATGTTTTTTTATTTCTTAAAAAATAATTAAATGAAGAACATGTCTTTCTGTAGATTATCAAGAAATCAAAAATGATCCAAAACGTATGGAACACTTGGAATCTTTGTATGCTATATTGTGTGAAATGATGCAGGACAGTGTTATTGTGCCAAATCAAATGGAGTTATTGACCATTTATGGACGGGTAATTATTTAAGTCGCATCTAGAATATTCCTTTGTTTGTTGTCTATAAGCTAAAAAGGTACATATACCCTACAATTTGGGAGAAGTATGTTAGACTATTTGATCAGAAAGTAAACTTACTTTAGAGGGATTAAGGAAAAAGCTTTTAACTCCAAAATACTAATTCTACGTTAGTATTAGAAAGCATGGGATGAAAGTTGCAAGATTTCTGTACAAACTTTTTTCTAGCATATTTTGCCGCATTTTCTGCTCCATTTCTCATCAATTAAGATTTTGATATTCCTATATTTTATGAAAATAGAGTTTCCTTTGGAAGCCTAACAATACAATTATTTTTTTCTTAAAAATGAGAATTGTAATTCCATACAAGCTTAAATAATTTGTAATCAGTTTTTGCTATTACTAAAAAGTAGAACTATATGTATATCTCAAACTTTTCATACAGAAAGGGTGAATGAAAATCTATCATAAACGATCATATTGATCGCCTTCTAGAATAATATTAATGCTATTAATTTTATTAATAATACACAAAATACTACAAGTGTATTACGCATTCTGTTTGTGTTTTTTATACAAATTTGGCAATTGGCCAATATTATTTTTTCCTCAAAAAATATAGACAGAATTTTCGATTTCACTTTCGTTTTGTTTATTTTTATACATGTATGTTTGAAAATAGATTGGTTAAAGACCAAGCCCCTTGCTGACACTTAGCATAGTGATGCGGCGCTAATTACAACTTGTTTTCACAATGTAGTTTTTCCTAATATCTTGTTAGTTTAATTAAATTTGTATTGTTTTGTAATTTTGTATTTAGCTGGTAACAAATGGTTTCAACATACTCGATGCTGAAATGAATTCAATTGCCACCGCCATCTTTTTGGGTGTTTCGGTAACCGATCACAGCTGCAAACCAAATGCAGTGGCCACATTTGAAGGTACTACATTGCATATACATGCTACCGAAGAAATGGAATGTTTGGATTGGTCAAAAGTATATTTATTTTTAGTTTTATATTGTGACACAAATCAAATTTATTTTTGATATTTTTAGATTTTCATTAGCTATATTGATTTGCTAAATACCCCCGAGCATAGGCGTAGAGATTTGAAGGATAATTATTATTTCTTGTGCATTTGCAGTAAATGTATAAATGATCAAGAAGCTGTGGAAATGGAATCGGCTTGTTGTATTAATAAGAAATGTAATGCTGCCGTAGATATAAACTTAAATAACTGTACAGAATGTGGTACGGGTATAATACCTAGACACCGCAATACTTTCAAGGAAGTTATGACTTTAACTAAGCAGGAGCTAGAAAGTATGAAAGATGTGGCTTGTAAGTTTAGTTTTTTAACTTTTAAATTATGCATTTGTTAAATCATTTATATTTAACTTTAGACTTGGATGTTTGCAAGGTGTTAATGAAAAAGCAGCAAGAAGTTCTTCATCCTTTAAATGTATGGCATATAAAAACCTTGGATGCTGCCTTTGAGGCGGCTATAGATGTGGGCAAATGGCCCGAAGCTTTGGAATATGGCAAAAAGTTGCTGCCGGGTTTTCGGTAAGTAATCTACTTTACAAATTATTTCAAAATATAAAATTTTTAATCTATATTTATAGCAAATATTATGGCAGTTGGAATCCTTTATTGGGTTTACTTTATCTAAAATTGGCAAAAATCCAATTACATGAGTCATGGCTTAAAGAAGCATTGGAAAATTTTGCGGAAGCTCGCAAAATTCTAGAAGTAACACATGGTCGTGATCATTCGTTAATACAAACACAATTGAAACCGCTGATGTTGCAAGCCATGGCTGAAAGTTCGGATTAGATAACATTAATAATGTTAATATTAATTTATAGTTGCTAAGTATTAGTTATAGTTTTATGTTTACACTATTTACATGTTAGAATTTAATTCATGAAATAAAAGTTTGAAATAATTAAGAAAATTCGAGTATGGAACAATTGTTGAAGCCATTTACTTCTGCTTACTATAACATTTTGGTAAGTAGGTCAAATTTAACACTTCTTTATGAGTAATAGGTTTCCCGACAAGAATAAGAGAACAACACTAACATTAAATAACACAATTCAAGCGAAAGGATTCCACTAGAATTTTACTTTGATTTGACTCTTTGGACTTTTCCAGTGAAGCTAATGTACACCAATAAACCCACTCCTTGCTTACGTAATAAAGCCGGCTATATAGCAAAAACTTAAGGGGCGGTTAAAAAAGCTGTGGATAACAAAGTCATGTCTAGAATGTGAACCAACTACAAAACCTACTTAATTTATTGTAGAAATCATCCAGGTTTAAACAAAATTTTAAAAGAATCCATCTTATCACAATTTTACTTTTTATATCTTAAATATTTATGACTTACATATAATACAGCTTGAAGGAAATCTGCAGCAGTTTACTTTTTTCATAATTATCACATTTTTCTATCGCCACAGTTTACTTTTTTCATAATTATTAAACTTTTGTATCATTTTTCACTTTAAATATTAAATTTTCATTTCAAATGTTAACATTTCTTTAGCACTGATCACCACCTTGTAGAAAATAAAATATAACGGGATTTTTTAACAACCACGCCATTTTAATTGATAAGGAATAACAAACTGACAGCTCTACAGCATTGCCAGCTCTCAATATTTTATTCCTTTCACTAACAGTATTGCTAACTACTCTTTATATAAAGCCGTTAAAGTTAAGCAAACCATTGAAATAGTCCTAATTAATAATTAACCAAACTAATTTTATTACCTTTATCAATATTTTTTGAATCTAGAATGTAAGTAATTTTCTAAACTTATTACAAATTGTTACTTTGCGGTAATTTGTTAAGCTGATTAATTTTAACGGTAATTTTTTAACAAATCCGCCATCGTTTTGAAAGGTTGGCATTACTGTTTCACTGTTTATTATTTCTACAAATACAGAGTTGTTATATCTCATGTTTACGCAAAAATGACGTGTGTTGTTGTTGCACACTTTTGTGCAAATTCTAAATTTTATTGCATTCCTAAGTTGTTTTCTTAAAATATGTTTTTAATTTTAAAACTTTTCTTATTAACAACGATTTTAACACTTCTTCACCATGTTGACGGCTTGTTTGATCCCGTCTCGATAGGTATAGCAGCAGGAGTAGGACTTGGAGCTTTTAAATTTGATTTTCTTAAAGATCAAACCTACTGTCGTATGGCAGAATGCTGTAATGAACGTAGTATACCGGCTGATATTATGGGACTAAAAGATGAGCTTTCCAATACTTTATTTGGCCAGCATATAGTACAAAAGCAGCTAATACCCGCATTGGAAGCACATTTTAATGGTAAACGTAACTCCCGCAAACCATTGGTGATAAGTTTTCACGGTACCCCTGGTACAGGGAAAAACTTTGTTGCCGATCAAATAGCTAAAAAGCTATATGAAAAAGGTTTAGAAAGTAAATTTGTTCACAAATATATGGGCCGCTCAGATTTTCCGGTAGCCCAGGATGCCAAGTTATATACGGAACGCATAAATCGTGAAGTGCGTGAAGGCCTTAAGGCTTGTCCGCGTTCCTTATTCATATTCGATGAGGTTGACAAAATGCCAGCCGGTGTTTTTGAATCGCTAACATCCCTGGTGGACTACAATGCATTTGTCGATGGTCAAGATACTACCCAAGCAATATTTATATTTTTATCAAACACTGCCGGCGTTTACATATCGGACAAGTTGGGTCAACTTATAAGGAGTGGCATATTAAGAGAAGATACTAAATTGGGCCACTTTGAACAGATTTTAGAAAAGGCTGCCTACAATCTGGAGGGTGGCCTTAAGAAAACTAGCCTTATAGAGGCCCATGTGATAGATCACTTTATACCATTTTTACCTCTAGAGAAATCGCATGTCTATAAATGTATAGAGCAAGAATATAAGCGTTGGAATGCTATTCCTAAAGAGGGTGCCATAGAGTAAGTTTTTAATTAGCAGAAACGTTGACATACTTTACTTAATTGCTCTCTTATTTATTGCAGGAATATAATCAATGATTCTATTACATATGATCGCACCAATGGCATATTTGCCACTTCTGGCTGTAAGAAGCTAGATAAAAAGGTAGCTGTGGAAGTTATGTCCACTTGAAAAAAGAAAAATCATTGCTTAACTTAATTTTTTTTACTTTTCTTGTATTTATATAGTTTACTAAGTTTAATAAAGAAAAATTTACAAGTTATAAACGAGTTTCACTTTTACCAGGGATTCTGCCACTTAAGACGAGAATCTCTCTTCAACAAATCTGTATCCAGACGTTTGGGATCATTTTCAAATGATTCCAAAGCTTGTACCCTCTCCTCTACTGGACCAATTTCTTTGGTTACTATACATTCACCATTGGCTTTGACCACAGTGTGTTTAATGTCATTCTCTGTGGGCTCTCCATGGGGAAATGAAATGGGTGTAACTTTAATAAGATGTTTGATTTTCCATAAACGGGCATTTATTTCGGGAATATTTTTTACCACAGTAAAATCACCTTGTTTACCATCCAAACCAAATTCTTTAAGTAAATGTTTCTCCCAATAGGGATTGCCTTTAACGGGCTTAATACGTTGTACTCTGAAAAGTTTAGCAGGTTCTACAGGTGGATCCTGGTGGTTGGGATTTCTGTAAAGATAAAAATAAATTTTATAATCTGTAAAGTATATTTATACATGTGTGGATTTATTTACCTGGGATAGTAAATAATATTTCCATATCTCTGGCCATCTTTGTAAAGATATTTTTTGTTATGTTTACCATAGTGGCGCACAGTTTGTGCCCACACATTATCCGCAGTGGATAATAAAATTTTAAAAGACATAACTTTAATTTATATTAATTTACAATTTAAAAACTATAACTAATTTTTAACAAAATTCCTTCGTACGAGGAAAAGGTTATGAAAGCGAACAACAAAAAAAATCAAACAGCTGTTTGAGACACAGAGAGAGAGGCATGTTTAGTAAGCATAATAGAATTACAACAGCGTTGCTCAAAAGGTAGTATATATTTTATTTTCAGCAAATTTTTATTATTTTTTTTTTTTTTTGATTTTTTTATATTAAACATAATCAAAATAAATAAATAAATAAGAATTAAATTAAGAATTTTATATAATAACATTTCAATTACCAATATATATCACAAGTTATTAATATGTAGTAAATGGGAGGAGTTTTGCCGCCATTTTTTCCTCTGTACAAATAGATTTTTTATCTTTCACGCTATTGGTTATTTTTTTTTACATAGAAATCATCCCCAGGATGGTGATTCCTTCCTATTAGTTGTGTATAAAAGGATGCTGTTGCATAGTTGGAAGATAACAGTTTCTTATTAGAACTTGTGAAGTGCATATCTCAGAATTATTTTCAAATTAACTTTAATTTTAATAAAAACTATTTTTAAGGAATATTATTAGCAGGAATAATTGAAAAAGGTGAGATATTTATTTGTTTTTAAGGATTATTAACATGAAAAATTAGTGTCATTCGCGGATATGCGATTTAATATAATATTTATTGAATAATAAAAATACATTTTAAAAAATACAGAAAATTTTTTTAAATTTTAATTAATTGCAATAACTCAATTAAATGTAATATAGTATAGTAATATTTTCTTATTCAAAAGTTTTTAACCGATTTTAATAATTTTCATCCAGTTAATCCTTTATGGTGAATATCGTATTATTTAAATAAGTGATTTATTAATTATTTTCTAGCATCAATTCGGATCGAATCCATTTAGAATTTTTCTATTTGGATATTGATAACGAAATTTTTTATGTTGCAATAAATTTCAATATTTTTATACTCAAAAATTTGCCACAGATGTCAAAATTTTGGGAGAAATCAAATCAAATTAAATATAAAATTTTTATTGCAAATTGAAAAACGTGATTTTCACAAATTATGGTTTTTACTTTCTGTTCATATCTACGACAAGGTGTTAAAGTGCACAACTGAAATCCCAATAAATAAAGGGTTGTAATAATATTTACACAAACATTACAATACAATAAATATAATTCGAACAGTAAATAACCCCTTAAGTGTATAAATAATAACAATAAACATACAAATAATACATTTTTATGCCATTGGCATATGTTGGAAAAACAAAAAGCAAAATTTCTTTATAGAAATGAAAATTCCCACATAAGATTTAAACACAAATTAAGTGGGCGTTTAAGGGGTTACAGAATTAAAATAAATACGAAAACAAAAGCCTACTAAAGTAAACAATTTTTAGCTAAATTTTTAACACCCTTTTCTATTTTTCCTTTCAGAAACCACAACAATACTGCCAAGACATGGTGTACGACATGACGCATATGGTGCCGTCGCAAAATATAGCCTTGGGCCGTTACTATTTGCAAGATTTGAATAATTTAAATAATAATGTCGAGAATGAAGATTATGCCGATTTTGATTTTGATAAAAGATATCAGGCTCGTATGGATTGCGAAACGCCTATTAGTCCTCAATCGAGCAGCAGCAGTAGACCTGCTCCACCACCTACGCCAGCTCCTAGGCGACGTACCACGCCCATTACACATTTAGATCCAGCCGAATTAGTGGGTTTGTCTCGAGAAGAAAGACGTCGCCGTAGACGTGCTACTTTAAAGTATCGTACTGCTCATGCTACTAGAGAACGTATACGCGTAGAAGCTTTTAATGTTTCTTTCGCGGAACTACGTAAGTTATTACCAACTTTGCCGCCTGACAAGAAATTGTCCAAAATAGAAATTTTGAAATTGGCTATATGTTATATTGCTTATTTGAATCATGTTTTAGAAACTCCATAAAAAGTTCGCTTGAGATCGAAGATAAATTCAAATGTTGCAAATTGAAGTTTTATCAAAATGAAACAATTTCCAAAGGTTTTACTTTATCCGTTTAAAGTCTGAGAACTTAGGATTTCAACATAACTAACCACATCAATTCAAAAATACTATCATTATCGTTTTATTAGATATGATTCCGTACTTTTTAGTTGTCCTGGTTTCAGACAGAAATAGTTAGAACTTATCAGAGAAAAAAATATATATTTTGAAATTTTGAGTGCGGGAACGATTTACTGAAAAACCTGAAATACTGGCGAGAACCGGAATATAATTTTTCTCAAAACCCACATTTATAAAATAATTATATTATCCTAATTAAGCCAAAAAATACTTTTGTTTTTATGCAAAGAGCAGTCAAATTATTAAATAAGTTAAATTTTAAGCATTTAAATAAAACATAATAAACATATTATTATTTTAACTCTATGTGATATGTGTATAATAAATTTAATATTAATAAAACAAAAAATTAAAGTAAAAATCTAAATTTAAAAATTGTGTTTCCTTTATCTAAAGGGTCTCAGTTGGCTTTTAGCTTTCTTATAACAAAATTGTTTAAGTAAGATTATTTAACACATGTGTCCTGTGGTCTATCTAAATAATGGATGCTGTTTAAAACATGCGCATTACCAGTAGACAAATATCTTTGTAAACTCCCACTAATACAGGGTATTAAGTAGTCTAATATTTCAATTTAATATTTAAATATTTCGAATTCTTATAACCAAGGTAATTTTAGTTTGTTTGTAGCTATTTGTTTCCAGAATTCCAATAAACACAAATCGGTTTTATTAACTGGTAACCTTGGGCAACATTTAACAGAAATTCCTTTAAAAGTTTTTAAAATGTCTGGCTGGCTACTGGTAATAACTAAACAGTTGTTGTCTTATTAAGTTCGGGTTTTTTTGTAGTGTATCTATTTTTTTTTCGAAAATTTTCAGTGTGTTTTTAAAATTATAAAACTAAACATAAACAAAATTTTCAAGAATTATTAAAAAAATAATAAATTAACTGCAAATTTTAGCTATGGCTTATAATTTTAGTGCAAATCAGGTATATATTTGCTGAAAATCTTTGTGTATATAACAGCAGTGAAATTTTTGCTAAGAACCCTGTTTAAATTCATTTTCATTTATATATAATATATGTATATACACATTTATGTACATACATACAAATATATAAGAAACGTATATAACCAAAAGCTATTAAACCAGTTCTTCGTTGTAAGGATGGCCGCATTTTTTTCCGACACGGGTTCCCGGACTAAAATTTAACGTCAGTTAGATTTAGACACTAATGAATTAAATAAGTCTTATCCAAACAAAATCGATATGTTTTGGGCACCTCTAATGTACATACATACATGTATAGAATATGTGATGTAGTAAAATATCAGGTGAAAATATCTAAAATATGGGAAAAGAAGTCATAAGTATTAAAAAAAGTTATAATATCATTATGTCTGGTTTAATCTATACAATCGATATATTTTTATGACTGTTTAATGTTTATTTACGTTGCCAATTATAGTTCTATAAACTTTGAACTTTCCTTAAACAGTTACAATTAATTTACTATATATTTTTTGCTTGTTTATAGATAAGTCATTTTGGTAATATACCCTACGTCTACAAAAAGGTGGATCTTAATTATGAACAGCGACTAAAAATGCAAGCAAAAAGGCAATAAAAACAATAGGATTATGCCGACTTTCTCACTACTAAATATCGTTTGAAGATCTCACAATGTATTGATATATATTCTTCACTTGTCTATCTGTACATATCCATTGTGAAGGATTGAAAAAAAAATACAAAATGTTCTCCATTCTAAAATAAGAAAAAACAAAATAGGTGGAACTGGTCGAATATTCTCTTGTTTGCTTAAATTTTGTAAACAAAATTTTAGGTTAAATGATTATTATTCTTACTCTGACGCTTGCGGTTTTCAGACAACTTTGTAAATAAAATCTACAGAAATTAATCAATTTTCGTAATCAATCAACTCAAGAAGTACTGATCCTAATGGGACAAAAACATATATTTCAGATGTCGGAAGGAATTTCTGTGATGTTAGCTGTAAATTTTTGTCAATCACGTTTAAACTTCTGAACCGATTACATTTTAATTTTGGCTCGTATTTAGCGCCTTACAAGTAAAGTGCTAGAGGCCATATTAGGGCATACTCGGCCCAGCTAGTTTTGCATTAAATATAAGGACTATTGAACCAAATATGCCTACTATTTCCAAACAATATATAAAACAATTTAATATAAACAATCAAAATAAGAAAAAAATTTGCATGGCAACGTAAACAAAATATGGAGACCCACGCACATCAAAACTATCAAAATTCCTTAGTCAGGATATACAAATTATTCGAATAACTTTAATACACATGCATACTTGTATAAAAACATATGGGTAAATATTGTGCTGGTACTAAATTAGTTGTCAAAAATATTTAAATACAAATTGGGTCAAATATTTACAGTTACATTAATGTAAACGATTTTTGCCAATCTTTAGATTTAGTAAGAAAAACGCCGGTAAAAGGATAACACATACTTTCGTCAAGCAAAAGCCATAGCAAATTAATGCCCAAAAAAACATTAAGTTAATATCAAAACAATTGAATTGACATCTGTTTTTAACGGGTCAGGACAAGAACTGCATTGTCCAGAGTAAGAGTAGCATTAAATTACTTGGTTTATATCATTTTATAAGTTTTGCAAGTGTTATAAAACTAGGATTATTTGATTGTTACAAGTGGTTTTAGTTTTTTTTTCGTTTGAAGATGATTTTAAGGATACACGTGTTAATACAATTGAATTTATCTTATACTACTAAACAAGGGGTGTTTGAAGGGTGTGTGTCGGTGTGTGAAAATTTAATCCTTGTTATGGAGGGCTGACTTGACTGGTTTTTGTGTTTGTTGTAAATAATCCTCTATTTGAATGTTTGTTGATAAATGTTACCCCAGAGATTTGACATTATAATCATTGACAAAAGGACACTGCTGAGCGAGAAAGAAGACTCATCAAATAGATAAAATTTTTAAACATTAGTTCAATTAAACAACAAGTAGTGAATTCTATTGCTGTATGAAATTTGCTAATTGAGTTTAAAATCAATTTAAATTACATACACTTGCAGTTTAAGGGACTAGTTAAAACGGTTAAATATAGCTGTTAAATCTTCACATCTTGAGAAACTCTGTTAAAGAGATAAGTCGTGTGTAATTGCCGTGTAAATTTAATTATTTCCTAAATGGAAAATGTGTGAATTTAAATGTTTTGGGTTTGGGGTGGCTGTTGTGTAATTTTAATACAAATTTGACTCGTGTTTAGGCGCGTGCCATTGTGGTTTTACACATTGTATTCAATCAAATTTGTTGTGAAAATGTCATCAAGTTCGGTAGTTGTTGCTGGAAATAACAATAAGAAATTATGTAACGTTTGCTTACAGATGATCGAGTATCAAATTTCTTATCATTTGCATATGAAAATTGAAAAACATTCTGGCAAACAAATACACAAATTATGAAAACAGTGGGAAAACAATTATTGTGGTTTTCTGGACATTACCCAACATTAAAATGTAATTTGAAAAATATAAAAACTATTTCTAAATATACATATCGAGGGACTATATCTGTCATTTTCATGAAAATGAGATTTTGATGGCAAAATATTCAGCAAACTATCCCGCATCAGTGATAAAAATTTCAAAGAAAAAAAAATATTTTTTGGCAATTTTATAGCTTTTTTTTAATTTCTCTATCTTAAAAAAAGAAAAATTCTGAATGCAAAACTCTCTATCTTATCCAAAAATTGCTTCAAACTCTATCCCTTTGGATGATTTTCTGTTGCAAAACAAATCTTCTTAATAATTTGGACATGCTGAACACAAATCCGTCAAAATATTTAAAATTGGTCTAATAGTTTTTGAGATATCGCTCATTATGATACTAATTAAATCAATTTTATTGTCGTGTTTAACCATATAACTTTGATTTTGGACGAAAACATTATAATCTGTTGCTTTTTCAACAATTTGGTTTATTTTCCTCCATTAAATTGTATAAAATATAATATTTATTGATTTTAATTCAAATAAAAATTTTATATTTCCATGAAAAACTCTCTATCTGTTGGTTGAATGAATATTTTCGTAGAAAAATAATGATATAAAATGATATAAAATTTAAAATTCTTTTTATATAAGGGTTTAGTATATGGTCGTAGAAATATATTGTAGAAGAAAAAATTTAAAAATCTTCACTAACTAGCGAAATAAACAGTTTTTTTGCTCTCCTGAAAACTTGTATTATTTTAGATAGGGACTATTGAATATAGTCCCTCGATATATTTTTCTAAAATTTATGTTATTTAATTCAAATATGTACTAGATTTTGCAATTTTAAGAATCAAGAAATTTTTTATAAAGTAACGAAGATTTATATAAAAACAAGTTTCGAACAAAAAGTAAATTTAACTTTAATGCCTAAAAATTGTATATTTGTTTTAGATAGTTACTACTCTAAGAAAACTACGACAGATGTAAAACTAAGCTTTTTGTCAAGCCTCTATATAAATCCTCTAAAAATCAAGTTGACTTTTTAAGTGATAAATGATATTAGGGATTAAAATATAAAAAAATAAATAGTACAAGTATAAATGGTAAATTGAATAAATAGCTACAATTGTTCATTTTTTTGAAAAGTAAACAAAGCTTAAATGGTATTAATTCAAATAGTTTTTTACACATGTTCTTTAAAAAACGAAAAAAATACAACAAGAATTACAGCATGTAATTGTCTAATGCCTAGACATACTGCAAAGTTATTTCAATAGTTAGGGATGTTTACCCATCCGCAAATTTCCGTAACCATTGCCTAGTGTACAGACAAGGGGTGTTTTGTTTTATTTGTTTTTTAACAATTTGTACAGGAGGCTTATTATGATATAAATTATGGTATTAAAGAAACAGGTTGTAATACATTTCCTTTTTTCTATTATTATTTTTTAACAGTTTGATTCCGTTTATAAACCCAAAGGTTTAAATAATTGGGAATTGCCCAAATGGTATCCGCCCAGACCACGTCAACGCAAAGGTTCCACTAAAATAATAGCCAATGATGGAGGCCATTTATTGGATGCTACAAAAAAGTAGGTCGATTTTAAATTATTTTTGATTATTTTTTAACTAAAAATTATATTTATTTAGAAATGATCAAAATCCTTGGGGAAATTTTCGCAATACTTATCAATTGCCGGATAAAATAAATCGCAAATTTGTGGAAAATTATAATAAATGTTTGGTAAAGAAAGATAAATGGTCTAATTTTGCTCGGGACACTAATAGCTGTGATATTGATAATAATGATGATTTTGGTATATCAGGCAAAGGTTTAACATGTCCCACGAAATGCGAAACAACTCAAGAGATTTTAAGTTTTGATGCAAATCGTAATAAACGTTTGCTTTCAGGTGGAAATAAGGAGGTATTTAGTGGTATAAATTATTTTAATTATAAGTTAATATTAAATATTTTTTTATTTGTATTTTTAAGAAAACAAAATTCTATTGCACCTGCAAACCCTGTCGGGATAGTATTAAATCGTAGTGAATAACTGAAATATGTAGAATTAACCATAAATTCAAGATATTGCAACAAAAATCGATAAAAATACTTTTATATTTGGCACTGAAATATTTTTAATTAGAGTTTGTTAAGAATTCATCAACTATCTATATAATAAACAGATCAAGTTATTGACTCGGATAAGAACTCGAAATGTTTAGTTGTTGTCCCGTAGATTTCATAAATTAAATAACATCAAAATACTCCAATAAACTTTGAACTGTTAGTGCCAATATGGGCAATATGGGACTTCTTATTTAAATGAAACTTTAAAATTCTTGTACTAAAAAAAGAACTTATAAATATTTCCTTTTTAACAGTAATAATCTTTTTCATTTATATTTAGCCTTTAGATTTGGAATATATACCCGGCGATTTTACGGATTATAAACAACAACATCCCACAAGAGATTTCTTATTAGAAGACAAATATAAACGAGATCGTAATATAGAAACAGATTTGAAATTAAATAAAAACTATTTAGGCGATCATGGGTGTAAACTGGGAGAATGTGAACCGCCGCCCATAAAACTAACACCTTTACTGCCACAAACATCAGCTTTGGTGACTTCAGATTTATCACCCAAATTAAGAGATTTAGATTTATCCGATAAATATAATTTTGAAACAAACGACGATTATTTGAGCAAGGATACAAACAAAATGTTTGGTTCTCATTCCATTACCGAAAAGCCAAATGAACGTTGCCCTTCGCCGGTGGTGCCAGCATATGCCAACTTTGAATTGGCCAAACGTATGCACTCAAATAATCTAGATCACCAACCTTTGCCTGATTGTGTGGCCGATTTGGCATTTCGTAAGCTGCAGATTACTGGTGCTAACCCGGGTTTGGCCTTGGACATAGAACCTATAGCTACAGGTGTAGGGGTTAAAACACACAATGCTGGTCCCACGCATTGCACTAAAATGAAAGTTTATCGTCCTAAAACTAGTGGAGTAGTGCCTCGAGCCTATAATGGTAATAATACTAGATCTTATTCGGCCACTCCTGCGGATAAGAAAATGGGAGCTATGGATTTGGCCATTTGCTGGGATTATAAACCACCTTATGAACCAGCTAGACCTAAGCATATAGACGGCTCTAATGACTCTGCTGGACCAGCTGTGTTTACTTATGTAAAAACTCCTCGCGATGATGCCGCCTTATTAAATACCGGTCGTTCTGCCGGGGTCTTTACTAATACTCTAGGAGAAACTGGTTTCTTTGATAAAGATATTTTAAGACGTAAGACTGATTTTGCGGGTAGAAAAATAGCTACAGATGATTTTACAGCAGATATTGATAACTGTCCAACTTTTCCACGAGCCCGCAGTGTTTCCCGGGACAGTAGTGCGTGTCATAGATTACCTCAAACACGTTTCTCTAAACAATATAAATCAACACCTGATATAATGGCAGACCATGAATACAAATCTTTAAGACAGAAATATCTGGGAGCCGATTGTGAATTTCCCATGACGACTGGAGAAACAGGTTGCAAGCGTTCAGGCTTTTTAAGAAAAGCTCGCTCCAGATTGTGCCATAAAATAGCGCCGGAAATGGATTTCTGTACCCGTACCTGCCCACCTCAGAGAATGAATTGCAGTAAGGCCGCATTTCGTGCCGGAGTACCCAGATATAATGCCGCCGGTAATTTTATTAGTTCCGACAGTGGCTGCAGCATGGGCAGCAATCATTCCCAAAGAGTTTTGGTGGTGCCCAGACCGCGTAACCCCTACTCCAAGCGTAACTATGACATTGATACTCTAGTGCCACCATTTCGTAGTTATGCAGGAGGTGCCGGGGAGGGAGGTTATCCCGAACATTGGCGTTTAGCTAGTGTTTACCAACATGCTTACAAACCTCTAGAATGTCGCAGAAAACCTTTATTGCAAACAGTTTACAAGTAAAACTACAAAAATTACTAACAAATACAAAAAAAGTGCAAATTGAATTTTTTATAATTAAAATATATATTAAAGACCATATAATAAATGTATTCGAAAATGTTTGCAAACTTAATAATAATAAAAAATAAAGTGCAATATTTGCAATTTAAACTTAATAAATCTTTGGGTGCATAAAAACATAAAACTTAATTTATAAAATAAAAAGTAGAACCAGTAAATAAATAATGTAAGTAAAAAAGTAACCAATTATTAAAAAACTGTGTTAATTACTTATTAAAATCATATTCCTCATGTTTTTTATGAAAAACAGATTTCATTAAATGATTGCGTACTTCTCGAGTTGATTTCCTTATACTGTTTCTGAGATTATGTTTCTTTTCATTGGTTAAATCTTCTATTTTTAAATATTCAGTTTCTAATGCCTCCGATTTAAGTTTCATGGTTCTTTCTGTTCCATCTATTATAGAAATTTCACATTCCTTTGTTACAGGCTCTTCATCCTGTACATTCTTAGCGGGTTTTCGACGTAAGCTATGGCGTATAGCATTCATTAATCCGTGTTTTTCATGTTCTGGTTTTTCGTCCAAATCTTTTTCTGTTTCTTTTTGTTGCTGGCCATTAGGATGCATAAGTTTTCTTATAGATTTTCGTATGATATTTTTAACAGTCATGGACTTTTTGTTATTATCATCTGCATCTCCAGATTTATCCGATTTTTCAGATTTATTAGTTTCCAAAGATTCTCTACTTACCGTTAGTTTGGGCTCAGCTGGCTTAGTGTAAGCTCTTACAAATGGTGCTGGTGTTTTAAAATCAAAAGAATCTTCAGCATCCTCCTGATCTTCCTCTGAACAGCCATATAAATCATCAAGATTTTCAATTTCAATTACCTCAGCTGTTTCAGTTCTTTGAAATTGTTGACTTAAGTCATAAAGAAATGGATTAGTTTCTTTTACTTCTGTAACCTTTTGTTCTTCCTTTTGTACTATAACATTAACTTCAATATGATGCTCAGTTTTTGTATTGGCTTCTTCAATTATTTCCTCATTTTCACCATCTTCCGATATACCACTTAGTTTTTGGGTAAATTTGGATCTTTTTTCTGTATCAACTATTTGTATTTGATAATTAGTATCTGGCGGTGAAAGCAATAACTCTTCTTCCGTTACACCATTTTTACGTAATTTTGCTTCATTGATACTGTTCTCCAATTCCAGTTGATAGCGATCTAATTCTTTGCCTATGTCCATGGTAGTTTCTTCTCCTATGGAACCTAATGAAACTTTTGCTTTTGGTACGGGAGAAAATACCAATTTCTCAGCCAGTAATTTGCTGGGTGTTAGTTGCGAGATGGAAATGTCCTTAAAATCGATGCGACAGCCCACTGTGGGCACAAAAGGCAAACCAAGTTTTAATTTACAAGGCTTAGGAGTTGAGAGACCATGTTGGTGTCCAGTTTCCGAAGGTATTTCGAAAGGGTTTAGGGATTTGATATCTTGATCTGGTAACTCACGATGCACCTCAAAAGGATTGCGTATAGCCGAAGCATCTTGTATTTTTAAATTCAAAGCTGGATTGGAAAAACAATTGGAGGCTTTATTTGGTGTAATTTCTCGTACCACCTTTGGAATAAAATAAATACAGGAAATTTAATAAATAACTATGTACCTATATTAAAAATATATATTTATTTTTACCTCATAAGGATTGAATTGTTTTTCTGGTAATTCCAAATTCAAAGCAGGATTTTCAAAACAAGCTGTGGCTTCAGCCTGGCGTTTTTTCTTTTTTGGTGGTTTACGCAGCACCTCATAAGGATTTTGGGGTACATTATCAGCTTCCTCAGGCCTTCTAGCCAATTCAGCTATTGATTTTACTTCTAAACCAACATTTGGATATACTAAGGCATTTTCTTTGTTTGTTTTTAATTGCAGACGCCGTTTGCCCAAAATTTTTTTAGGTGTTGAACTAAAGGCTTCATTTGTAAAACAGGAAGTAGCGGCAGCTGTAGTTTTTAATGCATTTTGTTGTTCTTGTAATTCGCATTTATCAAAATGTCTTTTACGCTTCCGTGAAGGTGTTAAATCCAATTCGGCTGTATTATTTAAGATGTCTAAAGCAGCCATTATTTAATACTTTAATAATTTATATATAATTAACACTTTTTTATTAAAATATATTAATTTATTTCACTAGCAGAGGCAAATTACAACACAGTATAAAATAAACAACTTCAGGGGTAATTTTCATTTAAAAATGGCGGTTGATAATAATTTCATTATCTAGAGTTGCATTTTATTTTACTACTAAAACACAGTCAAGGCGAATTCACATAAGGTGGTGTTATTCAATCAGCTGATTATTTTTCTTCACTTGACTGGTTAAACAATTAATTCCAAATTATATATATATATATATTAAAATTGTTTTAAAAAATTCAAAAAATATCCAAACTTAACACGTTCTTCGTTTGTTACAAATTGTTTGAAGTGCTACCAGAGAAAAACTTGAAGTAAATGTTCTCGTTGCTAGAAAATTGGGATTTGCATTTTATTTTACTACTAAACCACAGTTGATAATTTAGTATGTTTGTTTTAGTGCTTACTAAACACAGCTCATTGAGAATGACAAAAACTCTTTTTTTTTCATGACACATTGTTCTCTTCTATTTTCCACAGCTTTGTTGTAAGGAATTTTTTGTTTTAATTTTTGTTATTTTAGTAAAACATTTCAAAAAAATTATGTTTTAAATCTACAATTACAACAAAGGTTCTGTTAACTAATTTGGACTATAGTGTTTAGAAATGCCCTAGCAACAATTTATACAATAATTTAAGCAAAGTTTTTGTTCCGCCTCACATATGTTAACAAACGTGTATAACTGCACTTCCAACTTGTGTAAGATTTCGTTTGATAAAAGAAAATAACATAAAAGAGAAAACAAGAAAACATTGACATTGAAAATTTTCTTAACCATAGAGCAACGTGTTTAGGCATGAACGAAATACCAGCTCCTTTAGCAGCAACATCGAGTACTTCAGTCAACAATATGGATCGTAGACACTCTTCAAACTCTTTGTTTTCATTGAGCAACATTGCTACGGAACCACCAATGCTGACACCCGAAGAGGAGGAAACAGAGAAGAAACATTTAGAAAAGATTGTATCAGCTCTAAGGTTATATCGGTATGTAACATAACCAATTGATCCGAATTTCCGCTTTAGATATTGATAACAAATGAAATTTATAAATTGTAGCAAATTTTCTCTATCAAGAGTAAATAAAACCGAATGGAATTTAAATCAATTACCCAAAAGACATCAGAAAATGTTGACAAAATATCGCCAACATTTGAACACTTTAAGAGATTGTATAGACAAAAATCAAGAAGTTATCAGTGAAATGCTGAGTGAAAATCCTTTAAGAGATGCCTCCATGAGCAGCAATAGAAAATCGGATGAACATGCTGCAAAAATACGACACATTGATATGGAAAACGTAAGTTAGATTTCATATTCTATTTAACTATCTACTTCAAAATATTTTGTCGGAGGAAGTGTCCCCTTGTCCAGTCAGTTGTATTTAAAAGTTTATGTACATATAGTATATGTTTGTGTGAACGTTTGTAGTTTATTTGAAACTTATTGTTGAAACATTTTTGTTTCTTTCCTCTGTGTGTGTGGGAAAACAAATCATTGTTGATCTGATTTCCCTACATATTGACACTTGTGCTTCTGACACAGTCTGATGAGAATGTTGAACATTTTCACATTTTAAAGGCTCAATCTACACTGAAAGCCATTGCCCGTGACTGGAGCGAGGAAGGGGCTGAGGAGCGTAAACAATCGTATCAACCGATTATCGAAGCCATTGAACATTATTTCGACCCCAAGGAGTGGTAAGTGAGAAAACGTTTGAAACTTACCTTAATTATTAATTTCCTTGTAATGATTACTTTCTTATTGCAGCAATGTGGATCAAGTGAAAATTCTAGTGCCTGGTTGTGGTTTGGGTAGATTATCCTACGAGCTGGCTTGTCGCGGTTACGAGTGCGAGGCCAATGAGTTTTCCTACTTCATGTTGATAGCCTCCAACTTTGTCTTGAACAACTGCTCTCGTGAGAACATGTACACTTTACATCCTTGGGTACATCAACATGACAATAATTTACGCCGATCTGATCAAGTGGCTGCTGTACGTTTTCCCGATGTTTGCCCTTTGAAGAACAGACCAACTGGTATACTATCTGTAGTAGCCGGAGACTTTTTGGAGGTACATTTTTTTTTATTTTCATCTAACTGAAGTTACTTAAACATCTTATCGTTTTAGGTTTACAAAACTCCTGATACGTATAATTGTGTGGCCACTTGTTTCTTTATAGACTGCGCTAATAATGTGGTAGACTTTATAGAAACTATTTATGACATCTTAGTTCCTGGTGGTATTTGGATTAATTTGGGACCTCTTCTATACCACTTTAGTGATATACAAAATGAGGAAAGTATTGAGCCTACATTTGAGGACATTATGATGGTAATCAATGGTGTGGGATTTGAGGTTTTGAGCTCAAAAACCGGAGTACGTACAAAATATGCCCAGAATCCTCAATCCATGTTGAAGAGCGAGTATGAAAGTCTATTTTGGATATGCCGCAAACCTTTGCACAGACCCGGCAATGATGATGTTAATGAAGATGATGATGAGGTGGATGATCATGAAAATGGTTATAGCTTTCCGGGTGGTTTTCAGGGTTCATTTCCCTTGAAGTAGAAAAACCATTCTTTCCAAAAAAGGGCTTCAAAAGATGAATTGCTTTTCATTTCCTGATGTATGTTATGTGAATTTTTCATTTAATTTTTTTATTTTCTTTTTATTTTTAATGTTAACTTGATTTTTTTAACGACTTCCAAGGAAATGTATTGGAAATCATGTTGTTAATAAGACAAATGAATTTTTAATTTTTAGATGCAACTAGAATAAGTGATAAAAAATTATATAAATAAAGACTTTATATTAAAAAAGAGCACATGTAAAAATATTCACTTGTTTTTTTAATTTTCCCCGCAGTTGGAGTTTAGAAATTGCACAAATAATTGAGGCACTTTGTCCAAAGAACTAGAGGTAGCATGGTGGTGTTTACTATAGTTGAGAAACTGCCTGCGCAGTCTATTTAGTTGTATAGCATTCATATTGGCCGGTACTTGAACCTTGATTTCACTATTTTTAACAGGTACTGGACCCATGACGCCAATTTTACGAGCAGCCAATACATTACCCACAATTTCCTGAGTTAAACGATCCAGTTCGAACAAGTAATTAGTAGAACTTAGAGGAGGCTGTAAAAGTAGAAACAATTATGTATATAGCTTTAATTGGTTGTAGTTTTTGTGGAGAACATACATTTTGTGTTGACTGATTAGGAGGCAAAGGTTTAGATTCAAATAAAGCACTAAATATGGCCTCAAATTCTAAATTATCATCTGGGAAAGAGACAAATAAGGGACTATCCCATCTACAATTCCCGTGAGGCTCTTCGAAACGCATACATAAGCCTTCAAATATCTCCTGACTATAAGGAATATTTGAGTTGTCCAATTTAGAAACATCATCCACTTTGGCCAGATCCAACACTTCTTCACCACTTCTCTGTTGATTAAATTCCCATGCTCGCTGTTTTTGTATGCCACAAAACAAGGTGCACTGAGTACTTCTGGCCGCTTTGGTGGCACAAAACAATTCATAACGATAACCTGTCCATAAGAACCAATAAGAATTTCCATTGATCATAAATCATCTGTTAGACAACTAACTTACCCTTAATATAATTGCCAGCATCTAGTATTACTACACTTTCTTTATCCAGCAACCTTAAAGCTTCCGACTTCAAATCACTCCTGACCACCTTTTCCTTTTGGGAATCGGCAAAATAAACATTTTTATGAAACCCCGCCTTGGGTATGGCTTTATTCTCTGAAATGTGATGCACTCGTTTCCCCTTTTCTTCAAAGAATTTCTGCAATTCCAAAGCTCTTTTGGTTTTACCACTTGCTGGATAACCCGAAATAACTATTAAAGGCATTCTTTTTTTATTTAAAAAATTATACACAAAGTTATAAAATTTGTGCGCGTCTAGTAAGCTAAAATGTGTTTTTGTTTATAAAAAGGCGAATTTATAAAGGTGATTGTTTGAATCATAATTTTCTTTTTTTTATAAAGAGTGGTTTTAGGACCACCAAGCCATAATTAAGGCACTCACTAGTCCGCAAGGACAGACCTCTCAATCTTCTCTTCCACTTCAATTTCTCTTCTATGACTTAATCCTAAACTATCTTCTACTATCCTCTACCCTCTTTCTTTTTATATTTTATTATCTTTACAGGTATCACAAAGGGACCAACAGGACCCAAGTGTGCGTCTTTGCAGCCTGAATACCTAACCTAACCTAACCTTGACAGTTCAGATGTTGTGCAGTTTATATAAAAAACTCATCAGCTGTGTATTGAGAGCTAAATGCTGCCACCTTGCATGAATTCTTTGTCTTGCAAAGAAATGTCATCAACAGCTGGTTTTTAGTACTAAAATTTAGCACAACTGTATAAACAAAAGATTTTAGTACGTAACTTTACCCTTTTTTGGTCAAAATTTGTACACGGGAAAATTTTCCCCCAATAAACAACACCAACAGCGGGGTTTTATGTTTTGTTTTTGGTATTTTGATTTTGTTGATATGTTAATGTTGATTTTTCGGAGATTTCAATTATAAACAAATTAAAGTATTTCCACCCTAAACATGTCGGATAGAAGAAGGCGCTACAGAAAGCCCAAGGTATTTTTAATGTATTTATAATATCAACAATCCATTGAACTTTTAATCTTCTCTTTAGGATGACAAACGTGCAATGGGTTTGAGTTCTCAGTTTAAAGAGTTGGAAGTGCAACCTAAGATATTGTTGAAAACCAAAACCGAAACTCCAGCAAGCGCTGAAGTAGCCTCTTCTTCATCTTATGCTAATGCCGAACAACATGTTTCTGTGCAGGTGCCACAGAAAACGATCATTTTCCAAAAGGCCAATATCAGTCCCGCTTCCAGCCCCAATACCACACGTGAAACGTCAGCAGGTTCCAATGAAATTACTATACCACCTAATATAGTGGAACCCGTATATCAGATGACACGACCAGCAACAGTGATTTCATCTACCGGCTCCATAAATGGTGGTGCTAAAAAGCTGCTTATGAAATCCAATACCGACTTTCTAGTTATAGGTGTAGTGGGTACTCAGGGAGTGGGTAAATCTACGATTTTAAATTTGCTAGCCAATGAGCAAATAGATTATAATTATTATGAAAAAGTGTTTGTAGAAGAGGATTCCATATTTCCCACCAAATTAAAGCTGAATAAATGTTCGGCCCGTTCACGCACCGAGTCTACTCATATGTTTATTACCTCCGATCGCATGATTCTGTTGGATACTCCTCCCGTGCTATCGAATGCTTATAAGAAAGATATGACCAATAATGAATTGGAGGATTTGGGCAGTATTATTTGCTTAATGTCAGTTTGCCATTTATTGCTGGTGGTGCAGGATGATTATTTTAATTTAAGCTTTTTAAATTTACTACGCTTTGGCGAACTTATGAAACCCTCACAGGATGTTAAGCCTTTTCTACACGATTACTTTCCCAATATTCTGTTTGTGAAGAATAAAGCTAAACGTTTGGATTTTACTCCTGCCTCCCAGGCCATACAGGAACAAATGTACAAGGCCTTCTTTAAGGATTCTCAACTGCGCATTTATAAGGGACAAATCACTGAGCATCATATAATGCAACAGCAATTGCTACAAATGCAAAATCGTAAAAAGAATCGTATTAGCGAAGTGGAAACAAAAATTAATAGTTTCCTTATGCCGGAGGTAAAAAATCCTTCAGCCACTACGTATCACGATTCTTTGGAGAAGGTTATAAAACAATTTCGCAGTTTAGTGTTTATGACACCGCGCAATCCCATGTACTCGGGAGCCACTGAATTAACTGAAGAAATGTGGTTTGATTGGTTGACCAAAGTGTCCCAGGATAATCATAACTTTTTCTTTAACACTTATGAGGATATACAACGTAAACATTTGGATGTGGGTGTCACTTGTGAAAAGTCCACTGGTTCAGGCTTGAATGCTGGCTCAAGTAGTTCTAAGGATATTGTAGAAAATTGGAGAGAATAAAGGGAAAATTTCGTAAAACAAAAAATGAAATTGTTTATTTAACTACCCCAAAAACTAAAGAATCAGTAAAAATATTTGGAATTTGCAGGTCTGGATTAAAAAGGAAAATATGGAAGGTATTGTGCTATTGAAACAAACGGAAAGTGAATTAATTTGAATGAAAAATACCATTTTTTAGGAAAATCATTCGGAACCTCAGCAAAACTGTAAGTAAACTACAAATTATTATTTAAAATAAAACAACATAGATTTTTATGATTTTTTTAAATTAGATTTTTGTTTATTTTTAGTTTTTGTTCGTCTTCCAGTTCGTCGTTATTTCTTTTTTATATTTTAATATTATTTTAACATATTTGTTTTTATTTTATAATTAATTTTAAATTTCATTATCGTTATACATAGATCATCAGTGTATGTATTTATGTATGTTGTCGGTTGTTTGGTTGTAATTGTTATTTAATTGTAAAATGAAAAATAATTTCTTGCCGTTGCTTCTTCTTTAACGTTAAACTTAATAACTAAATACAGCTTAATGCCATCGTTTTCATTAAAATGCAATTTATTTCTTTCAATCATTCATTATAAATATTTCACTCGAACAGGCAAACAATCATTAAATAATTGCTGCCTGTTGTATGCATCAATATTTGAATATGAATGGTAAATGTAAATATTTAACTACAGTTTCGGTTTTATTTTTCTTTTTATTTAATTAAATTTTTTTTTCTTACTCTGTTGTTTTATGCAGGGGAAATTGTGCATTTGAAACTATTTTTTTTTTTTTTTCGTTAATCTGAGGAAAAAGGTTTTAGGGATCAAGGTTTTGTTTGATATATAGTAAGAGTTTTTGTTTTATTTTTAGTGTTAACAAATTTACAAATAGTTACAAAAACATAAATTTGAATATTTTTTCTTTAAATATAGAGGTTTGGGTTTTTTAAGTTTTATTTTTGGAATACATATATGAGAATTTTAATAGTTTAACTAGAGTTTTTTTTTCTTTTGTTTGTTAAAATTGTTTAATATTTGTTGTGGTTTTTTATGTTTAATATATTTTTCTTTAACTATTAACTATGTATATAAATGTGTGTGTGTGTGTTTTCAGTTGTTTTGTATATGAAATTATTTTGAAAAAAGTTTTGTAAAGTAATTTTTCATTACGGTTTCTGTTTAAAAAGTTTATTTTTTTTGTAATATTTTGTCTTTTCTTTTCTTTTAATTTAAATTTATTTTTTGTGAAATTTTGTTTTATAATTAAATTGAATCACTAACAAGAATGGGAGTTTTATAAACATTTTTAATGGCTATACTCAATCAGCTACAGAATTTTATTTATATGATTTTTGTTGTTGTTTGTTTGTTTTACTAAAATTTTCATTTCATTTGTCTTTCGTTTTTTTTTTTATTTTTGTTTATAATTATTTTGATCTAAAATGTTAATCTTCGAATATCTTTTTTTTAAATTTAATTTAACAACTAATATATCTACTATTTTGTTTTTTTTTTTTCAGTTGTGTGGTTTTTGTTTATTTAATTTAATATAATAAATTATTAAATTTATTTAATTATTTGGTTATTTTCTGTTTAAATTTCTTTTCATTTTATTATTTTGAGGAGGGTTGTCTTAAAAATAATTCTTCTTTCGGTCTTAAATTCGACTTAAGGCTAAATTTTTATGTATTTTATGTTGTATGCATGTTAGATGTATGAAAAACCTTTTGATATCAGGTTCAGTTATCATTGTCTATATGTTATGATGTTTTCTTGTTTTAAACAATTTGAGTTTTACTTTTTGCTAAAAGAAAAACTCAATTTGTGACTATTTTTTTCTGTTTTTTTGTTAGTTTTGTGTATTTTTTTCTTAAATAAAAACAATTTATATAATAATAATTATGTACAGTTGTTTTAAATATCTAAAAAATTATATAATACAAAATAATAGTTTAGCAAAAAATAGGAAATTTGTTTGTTTTTAATAATAAATACAATATAAAAATGAATACACGCAGGAAATTTTCAAATCATATGAATGAAAAAATATCAAAATAAAATTATTTGTGAAGTTTTGTTTTAAAGCTAAATTTACTCTATTTAGTTTTATTAAAGAATTGTACATATTTTTAATTTAAATAGATTAAACTTAGCTTTATTAGTTTCAAATAAATGCTATTGTTTGATTAATTATTTTACTTGATTGCTGGAATGTTTAGGTTTCCAATAAAATTTATTGTTTTGGCTTAAGATTTTCTTTTTAAATTTAATATTCGTTGCCTTTTTTAAACTATATAAAAAATGTTGTATTTTAATTTTATAGACCAAATCTATTTTAAAATTTATAGTTTATTTATAAAAAAAAATTAAATATGAATTTGCATTTTGTTATTTAGATATTCTCAACAGTCTGTCTAACAAGAAAATTAACAAAAAATCTGATTTAAAAATAACGATAAAAGTTTAAAAATTAGTTAAAAATTGCGTTTTGAACAATTTTATCACTTTTTGTTTAAATTCTAAGAAATATTTTAATTGTACTCTGATTTTTAATGAAAATTGCAAACAATTTGTTATAATTGTTTATAGTTTTAGTTATAAACCAAATTTTATTTCCAATTCTTTTGTCTCATCTCTTGTTAAACCGACCATTAGTAGGTATTTTGTGTTTTTTACTCAAATCTTGAAAATTGTTAATTAATACTCTATTAATTTTGTTTTTTTTTTTTTTGTCTACGTTTACATAATTATTTGCATCTGCACAGCAGAAAAATATTACTAACAAATATTTATTACAATGTTTTTATGTTTTTTTATTAGTTATTTTACACATATTTATGTATGTAAATATTTATATACGTAGTTTATACTATAATGTATATAAATATTAAATTTAAACTATGTTTTTTTATATAAAATGTTAACGCAGTGGATTATTATCTAATAAACTACATAATTGTGACTTTTATCTTCAAGTGTAGAATGAGATTTCGAGAGAAAGAGTTAGAGTTAGAGAGTAATAATGTTAATGTATGTATGTTTGGTTTTTTATATATTTTATATAAATTTGTTTTAAGGATCAAGAGAGTACAAGAGTTTAAAATACGTTTTTTTTAGATTTAGAGTGTGAGATAGAGAGAGTTAGGAAAGGGTTAAAGGTTACAAGAAAGAGTATTTTTTTGTATAAACGTTTGTGCTTTTTCCTTTAAAATAAAGTTTTTGAAATAATACAAAAAAAGGACTATAAATTATTTACAAAAACCGGTTAAATAAAAAAAGTATAAAATTAATATTTATATTTATTTTATTTAAAGTTTCAGACCGGTCATGAAATTTAAGATTTTGTAAAAACCACAACAACATTTACTTCAATTCAAAGGTTTTGCATTATATTCCTTAAAGTAAGACTCAGACCTTGTTTTAAATTTTGATGAATCCTTTTTTTCGAAAAAGGTTTCAATTGTTGTTGTAGTTTTTAAATATAATAAATGCATTTTTTGTTAAAAAGACCTGAATTATTGCTTAGACTTTTTTCTTTTTTTAATTTTTACTTGTGTTTTTCTTGTGGTAATACGTACAAAATTGTATTTTATTTTTAAAAATGTGTCTCCTAAACATGTTTTTGCATGTCTTAAAGTGTTTTAGTATGTTTTCTATGTTTCTGTGTATGAGAGAGTGTCTATGAAAAGGATGTTTCTTTAAGGATTTTTTGTTTATAAATATGAATGTATGTTTGTAAGCAAATGTTTTTTTTTTGTATAATAAATATGTATGTATGTAGTATTTAGTAGTATATGTTACGAGTTAATGTTAATGTTATTTTGTAAATTGTTTATAATACGTATTTGTTTAAATGTATGTTGTATTTGTAATTGTATTTTGATTGATTAAATATTAAATATAACTTTTGATGTTGTTTGTTTTGTTTGTTGGTTTATAGACGTCACAAAAATTTTGTTTTATTTTGACATTTCGCAACGGTATTCATAATAATAATTACTTGTTAATTTAAACGCTTTGAATTTCCTTTTCGTTTTTGATTTTTGCTAATTTTTTCTTCTTATAATAATATAAAAAACTAATAAATAAAGTTTAAAAAAGGAATACAACTTATTTTTTTATAAAAAAAAAGTAATAACAAAAATTATTTCTTTTTTGTTTTGAGATTAAGCAATTTGCAATAACGGACTTAATACAATTATCAAATCCAAGGTATTTCTAGAGAGCATTAGAGAGTAAGTTTGGTTGAGAAGAAATCATTGTTCAAGTATTTTGAATGCAACAGAATATTTGTCTCTTGGTTTGTTAAAAAAATTTGTTAAATTATAGAAAGTAGAGGGGAAAAAACTTTGGTTTATCCCATAGTTCTTTCAGGCGTTAATTTTCTCTTTATTATTACATTTTTTGGGTTATAATTTATGGTTTCTTTTGTATCTCTTGTCTGTAGTTTGGAGAGTGCTTTGGTGTTGTAATGAAACAATTGAGCAGTGAGTAAGTTTTTGTTTTCGTTTTAGTTTTGAAGTGAAGTGAAAGTGTGTGATGAGAGTCACAATTTAAACTCCACTGTTGCCACTACAACTGATTTGTTTTCTTACTATAATGATATAATAAAACCTAAACGCTTTTGATCAAAATGATTTAGTAATAATAAGTAATAAAAAACATACCCTATAATACAAATACAAATATTTTGTTTCACAGCTTTAGAGCAAATTTCAATTAATTTTTAGTATAAGTAACATTAAAACTACTAGGCGGAACTAACGGTGCCAATTATGCCAACATAATTAGTTACAATTAAATAAAGCAACAAATCCACAGCTGGTCTCCTTAAAATTATCATTATTATTACAAATCCGCTCCTTTTGCCGCCACCACTTTGGTTACCTTTTACCAGTCACCACCGCCATACTCTGGGCAAATTCGATCGATCGCATTATGAATGAATGTCATTCAAAATTGCCAGCTGTTAGTAGGGTGTTTTTACCACGTTGCCACATAGATGGTTTGCACCCGTTTGGGTGTGGGTGACCCCTCGGTAGTGGGGCTAAATTTTTATGACGTCTCTAAAAATCATACTTTAAATGTTTTTTCACGGCGTTGCTGTTGCCGATGTTGTTGTTGTTGCATCTGTTGTTGCTGGTGATGGTTGTGATGATGCGTTATGCCACCATTGCCCACATTCCCACTGAAGGCATGACTCATGGCTAAGGAGGTATCATCGCATGCATAGCTGGATATGCGATGATCACTGCGACTGCGCTCACGATCATGCGTACGCTCTCCACGATGGTGATCAGCGCTGCTGACCACTAAGCCGCCATTGCGTGCTTGCTTTAGATTGGTGGCATTTTGCGATTGGGATCTTCGATTGCCCAAACGTTTTAGCTCATAATCACGAGCATCGGCCACATCAAATGTGGCAGACCTTTGTTGATGTTTCGTTGATGTTGAGGAGTTGCCGGTAGAGAGGTGAGATTGCCTGGAACCTTGATGGTGAGGCGTTTGGGGCTCATATGCTCCAGGACAATATTCGTCGTATTCGTGGTCTTCGCACTTGTTGGCATTATATGAGGCGGATACCGCCGATTCTCGAGGTTCTCTGCCGCTCGACGAGGAACGTTGGTGTTTCTTGGGCGGCAGAGGTATGGGTGCTACGCATGAACTATTGCCCATTGCTGCGGCAGAGGCATTCGATGTTGTGGAACACTTTGTGCGTCTCACGACATCAACACCACCGCCACAGCAGGCGCATTCCTACAATTCGGTCACCGAATACATGTCATTGTTGGCTTGAGAACCGCCACGTTTTAGCGAGCGATAGTACATCTGTTGTTGATGGGCCTCGACTAACAATTGTTGCTGATGTTGTTGCTTTGTTAAGATGGTTGAATGGTAGTTGTTGTTTGGCGTGGTCGCTGCAGGATGGCGTTGATGATAGCTAGATGGCTGTGAGGTTTCATAAGAATGTTGCTTTTTGACTGAAATGGAATGTTGATCCATATAGGCGGCATTTGAACGTGCATTATCCAAGGTCTCGGAACGTCGTGAACGTTCATGTTTCTCTCGATCGCGATCCCGGTCGCGTTCTCTCTGTCTTTCTCTATCACGTTCACGATCTCTTTCCTGTTCGTAATTGCTCGTGGCCACCTGTTGGTGGCGTAAACTATTCGATTTGGGAGGTAGAGTCTGCATTTGTTGGATATTCGAGTTGTGCTCACGAGATTTGTGACGATTTTTAGGTGGTAGACTAGGTGGTTGCAATTGGATTTGAGGCTGAGTTTGGTTCAATTGATTCAGTTGCTGCTGTGAAGTGGTTTGAGTTTGTGCTGGTAGTTGCAGTTTCTGCTGTTGTGGTCTTTGGAGCGAACGATACTGGTTTAGGTTGGCTGCACACAGGGGCTGGGGTGATATTTTGGATTGCTGGACGGGCGGAGGAGCTGGTTGTGGCTGATTTTGGTGTGTAGGTATTTCGGGTAAAGGTTGATTAACGATTGAATTTGGATTTAGAGAGCGGGGTAGTTGTGGAGGTGGCGCAGGGGCGGCTACTGGTTGTGGAGGTAGAGGTCGTGATGCAACGGAGGGTATGGTTTGTGGTGGTGGTAAAGGAGGAGGAGGTTCATTCTGCTGCTGTTGTATTTGTTGCTGTAATTGTTGTTGCTGCTGTTGTTGTTGTTGTTGATAACTGGAACTCTCGATACTGTAGACCGCAGAAGGTGGCAGAATGTGTGTTGTCGGTGGATGATGCTGAACTGGCAATGGTCGCTGAACTGTAGGTGTTACTGTTACTGGTTGTATCTCTTGTAATTGATATTGCTGAGGCTGCTGTTGTTGCTGCTGCTGCTGAATTTGTAATTGCATTTGTAATTGTTCTTTGGCATATGAACTGCCTACACCCGTAGTGCCCGGTATTTCGGTAAAAGTATTCTTGGGCTTTGGCGGCGGCAGAGGTGGAGGCGGTGGCTGAGTTGCCTGAGGCACTAGCATTTCAGTAGTATTAGCCACGTATGATTGAGGTATGCAATCCGGCTGAGGACAATAGTCTTTGGATACGGTTGAAATTGAAGGAGTCTTGGCACTACGCAAATTAGGAGAAGGACTAGTACCCTTCAAGGATCCTCCATAGCGACCACCATGTGGTCGCCCTAAAGTAGCACACTTATTGGCCGTAGCAGCAGCTAGCACGCTCAGATTATTATTGCCCCTTACCGCTTTCGGACCTATGCTAATATATTTGGGATCGAAACGATTAAAGCTATTGTTGGTAACATCACGTGGATCTTTATCATCATCCAGATCCAGGCCATTGCCAGTTGATCTGCAAACCGTATTCGAAGTTTGGGCGGATAATACAGAACGTAGCGAAGAACCAGCTGAACGCGGTAGAGTGGCTGAGGCAAACATACTTTTAATTGAATTTCTTCCAATACCATTGGAGGCGGTAATGCTATTAAGTCGTATACTGCTATTGCCTGCATTAGAGCTGCAGGCAAGCGAATCTCAGTAAAAATCGTTGGCTTCCAAAGTCTTACATTGTTTGCTAAGTGTGGCATATTTGCCGTTATTAGGACCAGGCATATAGCTGGGTTGCTGATGCGAAGGCAGTCGCCCTAAGGTATGATGGCCCGAGGATCTAAAGGCAGAAAAAAAAACATGTAACAAATTAAAGATTATAAACAGTTGGGGGTACATATTAATTAATGTGTGGTAATGTTTGGATAAATATGATTGACATACATTTTAGATTTTATATAACAAGATTTAAATATTTGTATATACAAACTTTTATAATTGATTTTATTAAAGTGCAGATATTTAGTTATAGGTGAACCAAATTAAAAACATAAATTTAAATTGAAATAAACCTTATTTAACAAACAAATAAACCCGTTTGTGTTCCCCCAAACTAGGCCACATTATTGCAAATAAACTTCTTTTTTAGTTCTCATATAACTTTTTTATGGGAACATAAGGTGCTGTTCCTAATGTGAAATGAAGTACAAAATGTTTTTATGGTTTTTGTTGTAATTTTTTATATTTATTGAATGAATATCGATAAGTTTTCTTAGGGAGCTCATAATATGGTATGGTTTAAAGAAAGTGAAAGTTAAATGTATTAAGAACAGTTTTCCAGGGAAAATATAAAAGCAAATATTGGAGAGTATAAAAATAGGCAGATCAAGAGAAAGACAATAAGTTATATGAAAAATTTTGAAGTATATACTTTTAACTAATGCAAGGTAAGTGATTGATTGATTGGTTTATGGAATGTGCAACAACTTCCATATGTTTGCTATAATTTTGATCTTTACTGTTTATCTGTAGTATGACCTGTTTATTTACATTTGTTCAATAAACACTATTTACGCTTTTAAAACTAGGAACATTTCAATTTCAGCGTTAATCAAATGAAAACTTTATATATATTTCTAGGAGTTGTTAACAATTGGCATGAACTAGTTTATGGACTAACAAAAAATAAGGAAACTATGTTAACCAGGACTTGATGGCCCAGCAAAAATAACTGTTTAATAAAGGGAATAAATAGAACACAAAGTTTGGAGAGCAAATAATGTTTAATACAACACCGACTATGTATTGTCTATCTATTTATAAATTAAACATAAAAAATTAAAGTTTATACATAAAAAAATTAACTTTAATAAATTGTTATTTTACTTGTTTAACATTTATCTAGAATATTTTTTAAAATTTTAAAGGAAACACAAATATTTACAGATTTAAACATGTATGTATGTATAAACAAACAAAAGTTTTGTAAAATTTGAAAAATAAAAACAAACATGCTAAATACGTATGTATATAAAATAATTTTATAACTTCTGTAAAATTATAAAACTTTTTAATTTTAAATGAAACCTTTTACATGTTTTTTTAAATAATTATTTAAAACTCTATTTTAATAATTAAGTAACGTATAACAACAAAAAATAACAACTGTCATTTCCTTTTCTCACTTGTCCAACATTTTAGAACACTTGACAGTTTACTTTCGTTTTTTAGAACATTTAATCAGTTTAAGCGCATTTTTCACACGGTTCGGTAGTAAATTTTTAATGTCTTAGAAAATTAATTGTTTTGTCTAGAAATAATAGTGCAAAGTAAAATATTTTTGCAGAAAAATGTTAATGAAGTTTTGCTTAATATTTGTATATAAAAATATGTTTGGAAAAGTTTAAATTAATATGTTAAAAAAGTGTGTAAAGTTATTAAAAATTTGTTTGTCCATCACTCGCCAATCGTTGTTTTAATGCAGTCACCTGTTGTTGTTGTTTTGTATAAAATGCAAGTAGTTTTGTTGTTGCGTTTGAGTGTGTTGCAAAAAATAAAAAAAGAGCAAAAGAAGAGCATGAAAAAGCAAAGCTCTCATTATGGCCTGTTGTTATTGTTGTTTATTTTAGTGTTTTGTTTTGGTAAAAAGTCAGTTTTATGAAATAATAGAAAAGAGTTCTTTATGTTAAAAAGTTTCTAATTTAAAAATAAATAAGTTTAATTTAAGAAAATAATCTCAATAAGTTTTAATTTGAAAATATAATAATGAAATCAAAAAGAGTAATAGCACATGTCTATGCTTTTAAATGGCCTGTTATAATTTATTTAAGCGTTTTATAAAAAAGTTGTTTTATGTAAAAAAGTCAATTACAAAATATAATATTAATTAATGTGATTCAAAACAAAATCTGCAATAAAACATAAACGGAAAGGGAAGAGATAAATGTAAGTAATTTTCTTTTTTATTTCTCTTAAATTTGTTTTTGCAAAATTAGATTTATCTTTCTATAAACAGTGCAGGAACCTTAATAGAAAATAGGCCCCAGTTTTATTTTGAAATAGTACGAAGCCTTTTAGTTATAATACATATGTACATTTGGGAAAATACTGTAATAAATTGTATTTCAACTGGTTTAGTATTTATGAAAATAAGATTTTAATATTTCAAAGGAAATACAAACATAAATAAATTTTGTAAATTTTTAAATTAAAAGCAACCATGTTAATTAAGTACCTATTTGAAAGACAAATACTTTAAAAATAGTTTAAAAACCTCAAACTTTACATCAAACTATTTAACAGTTTATTAGTCCAAACCTTATTTACATAACAAAATAACGTTTAACAACAAAAAATAACAACTGTCATTTCCTTTTCTCACTTGTCCAACATTTTAGAACACTTGACAGTTTACTTTCGTTTTTTAGAACATTTAATCAGTTTAAGCGCATTTTTCACACGGTTCGGTAGTAAATTTTTAATGTCTTAGAAAATTAATTGTTTTGTCTAGAAATAATAGTGTAAAGTAAAATATTTTTGCAGAAAAATGTTAATGAAGTTTTGCTTAATATTTGTATATAAAAATATGTTTGGAAAAGTTTAAATTAATATGTTAAAAAAGTGTGTAAAGTTATTAAAAATTTGTTTGTCCATCACTCGCCAATCGTTGTTTTAATGCAGTCACCTGTTGTTGTTGTTTCGTATAAAATGCAAGTAGTTTTGTTGTTGCAAAAAATAAAAAGAAGAACATGAAAAAGCAAAGCTCTCATTATGGCCTGTTGTTATTGTTGTTTATTTTAGTGTTTTGTTTTGGTAAAAAGTCAGTTTTATGAAATAATAGAAAAGAGTTCTTTATGTTAAAAAGTTTCTAATTTAAAAATGAATAAGTTTAATTAAAGAAAATAATCTCAATAAGTTTTAATTTGAAAATATTATAATGAAATCAAAAAGAGTAATAGCAGATGTCTATGCTTCTAAATGGCCTGTTATAATTTATTTTAGAGTTTTATAAAAAAGTGGTTTTATGTAATAAAGTCAATTACAAAATATAATATTAATTAATGTGATTCAAAACAAAATCTGCAAAAAACAAAAACGGAAAGGGAAGTGATAAATGTAAGTAATTTTTTTTTTATTTCTCTTAAAATTGTTTTTGCAAAATTAGATTTATATGTATTTCTATAAACAGTGCAGGCACCTTAATAGAAAATAGGCCTAAGTTTTATTTTGAAATAGTACGAAGCCTTTTAGTTATAATACATACATTTGGGAAAATACTTTAATAAATTGTATTTCAACTGGTTTAGTACTTATAAAAAATAGATTTTAATATTTCAAAGGAAATACAAACATAAATAAATTTTGTAAATTTTTAAATTAAAAGCAACCATTTTAATTAAGTACCTATTTGAAAGACAAATACTTTAAAAATAGTTTCAAAACCTCAAACTTTACATCAAACCATTTAACAGTTTTACAAATATTAGTCCAAACCTTATTTACATATCAAAGTAACGTTTAACAACAAAAAATAACAAATGTCATTTTCTTTTCTCACTTGTCCAATATTTTAGAACACTTGACAGTTTACTTTCGTTTTTTAGAACATTTAATCAGTTTAAGCGCTTTTTTCACACGGTTCGGTATTAAATTGTTAATGTCTTAGAAAATTAATTGTTTTGTCTAGAAATAATAGTGTAAAGTAAAATATTTTTGCAGAAAAATGTTAATAAAGTGTTGCTTAATATTTGTATATAAAAATATTTTTGGAAAAGTTGAAATTAATATGTTAAAAAAGTGTGTAAAGTTGTTAAAAATTTGTTCGCCCATCACTCGTCAATCGTTGTTTTAATGCAGTCACCTGTTGTTGTTGTTTTGTATAAAATGCAAGTAGTTTTGTTGTTGCGTTTGAGTGTGTTGCAAAAAATAAAAAAGAGCAAAAGAAGAGCATGAAAAAGCAAAGCTCTCATTATGGCCTGTTGTTATTGTTGTTTATTTTAGTGTTTTGTTTTGGAAAAAAGTCAATTTTATGAAATAATAGAAAAGAGTTCTTTATGTTGAAAAGTTTGTAAGTTAAAAATAAAGAAGTTTAATTAAAGAAAATAATCTCAATAAGTCTTTATTTGAAAATATAATAATGAAATCAAAAAGAGTAATAGCAGATGTCTATGCATTTAAATGGCCTGTTATAATTTATTTTAGTGTTTTATAAAAAGTTGTTTTATGTCAAAAATGTCAATTACAAAATATAATATTAATTAATGTGATTCAAAACTATTCAATGAAATATGTATAAACGGAAAGGGAAATGATATTTGTAAGTAATTTTGTTGTTATTTCTCTTAAATTTGTTTTTGCAAAGTTTGATTTTTTCCTATCAGTGCTGCCAGATTAATAGAAAAAAGTCCCCACAGAAATGAAAATAAATATTATGGTTTCTCTTAAATTTGTTTTTGCAAATACATACTATGTAAGAAATGTAGCTAGGAAATAATAAACAAAAAAGGGGCAATTTACAATTTTCTTTAAATTATTCAAATTTTTAAATTAAAAATAAAAATTTTAAAGTTGTTTATTGATTTTATAAAAGGCGACTACAATTTTATAGAAAACTTTTAGGCTTTAGAAATACATATTTCTAAATTAATAAATTATAAAATTTTTGCTCTGCTCCACTTTCCTATCACTTGTGACTTTTCCTAACGACTATTTTTAGGGTCATATTAATGTATCATATGTATATGTTAGCATTTGTTAAATAATACATAAATATTCGCCAGTTTGTTTTAAATTTCCCTTTTTAAACTCTACTCCTTTTTTTGCATGTACATATGTATATGTACATACATATGTATGTATATATGTAAATAGTGCAAATTCTGTTATGTTTGTGCTTGTATGAGTGCAAAATATCCTAGTGACATTTATATACATATACATATGAATATCCATATACTTTTTATATCTCCCCCCAGATCTGTTAGCAATACATGTGTATGTATGTATCTACTATTGGTGTTAAATAAATATAAATTTATCAACTTTAAATACAAATATTTCCATATAAATATAAAAATTAATTGAGCGTATTTATACAAAAATAAAAATATAAATGTATTAACATTGTTTTAAAATCATATTTTAACAATTATGCAATTATGAGTAAAAAAAATTGTATGATGTAGCATTTAATGTTTAAAGGCACTTCTTTTGGTCAAGCAGTTTTTAAGTGTGAAACTTTGTTAAAGCTGCTCTTTTTTAGAAATTAAAATGATAAAAAAATTATTAAAAATTAAAGCAATAAAATAACTGAAAATGTGTGGTCTTAATAAAAATATGAATCTTAAGCAGTTTTGCTTAAGTGTTTGTATTAAATTGGTGAAACAAATGTTTACAGAGCTTTAAATTAAAAGCTTTAGTTTCTTAAGTAGTTGCCTCCGTTTTTGTAAATATTTAAAAAATATCCTTTTATATTTATAATATTATACCTAGATAGCTTGTTTAGGACACTGGTCCAAACTTAAAACACATCGACCTTGCTAGTGTTTGTATATAGGAAAAATTATTCAGAAATATGCGTGTAGAGAAAAAAATGTGAAAAATTAAATTAAAAAAAAAAAATAAAATAAAAAAAAAATTAATAAAAGCCATGCCTTGTGCCATGCACCACAACATCATAACCTGGCGGTGGTGAGGGTGATAATTTGCCACTACCAGCCGCACCACCACCACTATGTAGTGTGTTAGTTTTATGATGATTGTTGTATGATGCCAACCCTGTTCTCAATCCATTGGCGGCACCATTGCTGCGTGTGCCACCCAAGGTGCCACTATGGCCTACGGCCACGCCATGGGTCTGCTGATGATGTAAAAGGGTACGATTTATAGTGCCCGTATGATGGACTGGTGCTGTGGGTGATATATTTGCACTGGGTGCATTAGAGGGGAATAAAGGTGCTGTTTCGGATTTATCGGCATCCACAGAGGGTCTATAATTATCATAAGAATATAAAATTAATGAAGAATGTAATGCAAGACAGTTTATTTTAAAGACCAAACCAAGTACCTTCGTTTGCTTAAATAGATCCAGGCATGTGAATCGGCATAGACGAGTATGGTAAAGAGAAAAGATGTCAACAGGCCGGCTACCATCATCAGACTTAAACCCAAAAGACCGCCACCACAAAGACCTCTTAAAGCCTCTGAATAGTGGCGATCTATGGCACGTCTATCTAAAGTTGCTGATAATACGGTGAGATTACGTTTCGTTTCCTCTAAATCATTATCCATGGACTCTAATGTTTTGTGTACATCTATACGTGGATAAGTTTCTTGGCTCATTCTAATAAGGGAGTTTAAAAATGTTAAAGAGAATTTTATATTTACATATTACTTAGTATGAAGGAACGTGTGCATTATGCATACGCTTGAGTAAAATCAAAAGTTGCTGTGTATTTTGTCTGCTATTTACCTTTGTATTAAATAAACTGATTCACGAGCACGTTCCACCAGATCACGTGATTCATTCAGGCGTAAAATGAAGCGATTGCGTAAGGTGCCACAGTTAAGGAAGTAAACATAAGGACTCCGCTATATAGGATAAACAAAAGATTTTTAAATTTTACCTTAATAGTGAGGAGTAGATAAAGTTATTTTAAATTGTAAGTTAGCAAATTTAAATGAACAAACAAAATGGGCGTCAGTAACGTTTTTTTGCTGTTTTGTTCTTTTCTTGTTTACCACTCTCTAGCGGGAGTAGCGAAGGGAGGAGACCCATATATTATCATTTTCTGTCATTTCGTTGCAATCTAATGGCTTAACAAGAAAATGCAATTTGACAATGAATATTATCAGCCACATCAAGTGGCCTGTTTTGTTTGGAAAAATGGACGCCGCGTACTGGTATGTTATGGAATAATAGTAGCCAACAAAAAACCCCAAATATAGAAGAAAAAAGAGAACACCAAACTTTGTTTTGTTCGTAGTTTTGAAAATCAAATAAAACTACAAAAGTTTTAAACGACATTTGTTCCGTTTGCAATATGGTGGTTTAATTTATTGGCTAAAAGCCAAGTCTGTCTGTCGGCCGGTCTATGTGTGGTATTTTATTTTTTTATCCATTTTATCTTGTACAACTACTGCCAAGAAACAAACAAAAACTGAACTAAATCTAATTTTTTCTTTTGCAAAGTTAGAAAACTGAAGACCAAAGAAACTTAATACAATTTGTTGACAGATATTTATATAAAACGGTTAGTAAGTTGTCACCGGCTATTGTTTATATAGTCTATGAGTTCAATATAATATATAGCAAATGCTTAATTATTTGCTTACCATTCCCACCTGACGACACATGTACTCATGTGGACGCATACAAAAGTCACCAGCGGCTACAGCCGATGCCAGATAAACGCCCGCCAATAACCAGCAAATAATTATACAAAATAGACCAGCTACACTAAAGAATATCAAGGCACAGCGAGAACGACGTGCCACGCCTATTACCAAAACGGTACACAGCAGTAGTAAAAGCGTAAGGAAACCTAAAGTTGCAGGCCATCGTATCGATTCATAAAGTTCACCCAACTGCAAGAGATAAAGAATATTAAATTAAAATTATGCATTTACGCAATTTAAATAAAACTGTATTTAACTTACATGTAATAAACCCATTAGGGAGGTATCATTTTCACTGCCTTTGGTTTTCATAAAATATAGCACCATGTTATCGAGACTGGTAACAGCACGTGAGGTATTTTCGCGCACTAGACCACACGTTTCAATTAACAACATTACAGCAGTTTGATTATATTGTACTTTTTCTATTTGTGCTTCGAGTCTATGTTGGTTCATTTTAGTTTCGAGATCATGTTTTATGGCTTCAGTCTGTAATGTAAAAAAAAAAAAAAAAGAAATAAGTTTTATTAAGCTGTTTTAATAAAGTTTAAAATAATTTAAGAAAATTTAAAATATTTCGACGTATTAAATACCTCTTTTAAATACTTTATTAATGTATGCTTCACTATCGTTCTTTAAGTGAACGATTTTCATAAATTCAATTATTATTATTTTGAGGTTGTATATTAAATAATATGTAAATATGTGTAGAGATAAGAATTAAGACATAATTAAATTTACTAAATCATTAAAATTATCTTGAAATTTTGTTTAAAAGCATGGTGAATGTGTATTTCTTACACTCTTACACTTAATGAAACCGTTAGTTTAAAAATTACCCGGCAGTTTTAGAAGTAGTCGTTACTACTTTGTTACACTGCTTGATTAGTTCCTTTAAACATTTTATGTGGACTTTATAATGCAATGAGGAAATCAATCTTCACTTTAGCGTCCCAAGTAATTTGGCGCGAAATCAATTGTCACTTTAGTGTTCCCAAGTAATCAGTAGATAAGCAATTTAAACTTTTTTCGGTCGTTTGTAAAGGAAGAAATAGTTTTAAAGTTAAATTTCTCTTATTATGAACGTGTCATAATTTCTAACAGCCTGCTAAGTATGCAGGGTATTTGCAGCTGTATATGTGTATGTATGTGAGTGTAGGTGTATGTGCTGAAAAAACTGTCTATGTTAACTTTACCTGTCAGCTTCAGAACTTTTATGTTGTTCAAAGACTTCAGTCTTCAACTACTGTAAATATGAGTGTTTGTAACTTGTAGGTATAAAGTTTTTAATAACGATGCATTTAAGCTGTTATTAAGTTCATGTTCATAATTTTTTTCCTTCATTTCTCATATACACTGCATGTATGTGTTATATACTAATAGAACATACAGTTAAAGTTAAAAGTAAACTAACGCTTAAATGTTTTAAACTTTCCATTCTAATAAATGCACCTGTAAAATCCTTTGTTTCTTGACAATTTCGCTTTAAATTGATTTAATAAGTGTCTGTCAAATTTCACTTTAAACAAATTATCTTGACAGACATTAATTATTGTCACAAACTGTATGTTTTTAAAACATCTAACAGAACGGGCTGTCATATTAAATTTTCCGTTGTAATAATTATAGACTAAAGTTAACAGATGATTTGTAAAGAGAACTAACGAGGAAAAAAACTCAAAACTGAAAAGCTATTAAGGTAAAGCCATAAACTATAATGAACCTTTTCCTTCCAAAAAAAAGAAAGGAGTTAGTTATGGCATGGTTGGATACTACATAGTAGCAAAAAAGTTACTAAATTATTTTTGAACTTTTTAAACTTAAATTATATGGCAAATAGCTGTATTTTCGTTAACAATGAACACTTTAACAATTTCATTTAAACGTTAATTGTATTAAAATGCACTTTTCACAACAACAACAACAAAATAGAACATTCACAACACAACTGGCGGTTTCTGTTTTATCTCAATTGATGTTCTAATTAGAACTTATCTATAAAATTGGTCTGTATCTTGTTGTAACGTTGGATAACACATTGCAACAACTGCTGCCATTTAACAAAGAGACATCTAAAAGTGTCCTACACATTGAAAACGCTTACAACACCAAAGCATTTTCAAAACCAACCGTAGCCCAACATTGCGCCAAATACAAATTAGAATGTTAAACTTGTTGTTGTTTGGAAAACATTTTAAATGAGGAGAAATTAGTTTGTGTTTAGAAATTAAAATGAATAAATTCTTGAAATATTTTAACAAAATTTTAATAGGTTTTAAAGTGTTGCATAAAGTGAACTAATTGGTAAAGAGATAATTAAGAGTCTAGAGGTTGTTTTGACATGCAGACTTGTTTTATAAACGATATATTACTAAATTTCTTCTAAGCAATGCTAAAGTTATATTGTAGTCATTACAAAGTATGTGAAACAGTTACAAAACAAATTTTTTAAATATTTTAACAAACTTTATTAACTTTCTTGTCCCTACATTTAGTTAATCCTCAATTTCATTTATTTTCTTTTAATTGAATTAACTCTTTTAAGTTTGAAATGAAAACCTTATTTCATTGAGTTACTTTTTTTTTGTAAAAAAAAACTGAAAATGACACCAACTACTTTTACAACAGCATTTAGGACATTGACTTTAGAAACAAATTCGGAACGTTTCACTATTTTTCTGTTTTTGTGCATTTTTTTTTCATTCTCATTGCGAACAATTCAATACCAAAGGGAAGCGAATGTTACTGCCATCACAGTTGAACACAAAAAAGTTATCAATTGCCAAAACTATATTGTGCAAACTATAATCAAGCTTACGGTTGTTAATACAGGGTTAAGCTAAAAATAGAAATTTCAATTTCAAATACTTTGAAATTTCAAGTGGGCGAGATACCACGCCCTTATAACAGCTGGACACCTCAAATATTTTGCGAGTAACTTTACTGTTATTAGAAATATTTATGAAAAATATGGGCGAAACACCAATAATGGGCGTGGCACCAAACACAAAGTAAGAAGAAAATTCGTATAAAAATTTTGTTAGAGTAACATTATTTTGAATACTCTATACAACCTCTCCTGTAAAGTTAATACCAAAAACTAGAAAGCTTTAATAGAATGGCGAAGTACACTGGGTATAGCTAAAGCTTATATTTAAACTTTTTATACACCCTGTTTTTAACATAAATAGGGTGAAACTATATCGAGAGGGTGCCTCTAGTGCTGTGTACATACAGTGATTTAAAAAGGAAATGAATTAACAGAAGAAAAAAATAGGGAAAACTACTAACTTGCCAACAGTTAGAATCCAACATCTAACGGTCACAATTAAATCCTTTCCAGAAAAGTATATAGCGTCAGTTTTAACGCCATTGAAAAATTCAACTCAAAAATAGTAATAAAGAAAAAGTTTTTTTTTTAAATGTGACATTACTTTTATGTTACAATAATATACACATAATATATTTTTCTCAACTCAGTTTATAGAAATGTTTAGACATGATTGCAAAAGAAGAACTAAAGAAAAGAATAGGAAAAACTTTGTTAAGGCAAAGTACGTTCCTTGCTAATTACTTCTATCGTCAATAAAAGTTTATACTTTTGTTTGCAAACTTTTAGTTTATATTACTTTTTTTTATAACAACTTTTTCTCTAACTCTTTCTCTCCTTCTTTCTTCAGACTTTATATTTAAAATTTTATTAGAATCTTTTTATTTTTTTGAAACATTTAAATCATTTTGCTGCTAAAGCAACAGTATTATGGAAAATATATGCATTTAAAGGTGGACTAACTATTACAATTACAATGCAAGTCTGTTAGGATTTAAGTAAAGAAAAAGTTTTTGCCACTATTTGTTTTGCTAACTTTTTGGACAAAATTGTTTTAAAACAAATCCTTTTACATAATTCTTTTCTACAAATGTCCACCTTTTTTGCTGTTGTTGTTGTTGTCAAATGTTTGTAGCAAAAACTAAAACAAACGAAACGAAATTAATATTCAACCCTTTTTAGCATTAACATTAAAAGGTTTAGCATATGAATCATTTAAAGTTATGAATACATACATAGATATGTGTGTATATATACGAATACATATGTAATTTTTTTTTATGAATTTCATAAAAAAGAAGTTGTCTTTGAGCAAAGTCCTTTGATTTAACTGTTTGACAAATTTGTAGAGAATTTACTTAAAAAGTAGTAAGTAGCAAAGTAGAGGGAGAAATTTAAAGTGTTCTCTGTCTCAATCTAAAATATAAAAGGGAAGATAAAAAACTATCTTCAAAATATAATTTAAGCGGTTGTGTTCTTATACATACTTTAACTATGAAATATGAACCAGTAGCCCTTGACTATTGTGCATTAAAACAGAAAAAATCTCTTGACAATAACAATTACCGATGTATTATTTTACTATATATTGAAAGTTAACTTTGATTTCAGATTTCTTTTCAAAAACTGTCTCAGCAATCTTCTTGTTTAAACATGAATTAATAAGTAATTAAAAATATCACTCATACCACCCGCAACACTTTGACTATTGTGAATTAAAATATAACAAAAGACTTGCTGATGGTTTTAAGTTGAAAATTTGTCTGATTTTCTCTTGATGAAGATAACAGTGACATATGAATTATTGTTTTAACTAGAAATTTATATATAATTTAAAAAATTACTCATACCACCTGAAGTCCTTAAAAATTGTGAATTAAAACTTAATAAATTAGCTTATTAAAAGAATTACTAAGAGATATTAAAGTTGATAGTAAACTTTTGCTTCAAAATTACTACCATTTTCTTTTAAATAAAACAAAATTGTGAATAAATTAACTTATTCACTAAAACTATCATAAAAAAAGTAATTAAATTCCTTCAAATATATAACTTCCCACAAAAAAATATTTATAAAAAACCTTTCCAATTAAATCCTAAAATCTTAAAACTCTAATGTCATATGTTATTAAGAAATCTAATTGCAAAACCTCAACCACTCTACAAATAAGTGAAAGAAGAGACCTACTTACTAGGTTTTCTAATCAAAAGATTTCCTTATACTTATGTACATCCCAAAAATATTATCGTTTATTTTTTAATGAGTGGATATGTATAGAAAACTTTCTAAACTTTTATATTGACAGTACGTTGTACTAATTTTTTGTAAATTAAACACATACACTAACACATGAACTCTTATATACATACATATGTATGTATGTATGTTTGTACATAGAAACATTTGTAGGTTTTTGTTTTTCTTCATTGTGCTCTTTCTAAAAGGAAAGTAAAATTTGTAAAGATTTTCATCATTCAACAAAATTAAAGAAAACAAACATTACTCCTAAGAGTCCTATAAGAACTGTAGAAGCAACCCAACCAAAACAGCTCTTTTGAATTCACATGAAGCCAATTTACTAAAACAGACAAATGTTCATTTAAAACTACATAGATACCTTTAGAAATATGTACTTATATGTAGTACATACCTATACATTAGAAACTAGAAAATGAAAACATACATATATGTAGATTTAAGTACATATAAGTAAACACATGCACTTCTCTGGTTAAACAATAATAATAGTAGTTGTAGTAGTAGCAAAATCAGCAGCAATATGTAGTAGTAGCTGAATTAGTATTAGTAGTAGTTTCTCCCCTTTAAACAATATGAAAAGGAAAATCCTTATAAAGTTGTCGTACTTTAACTAAAGAAACGGATGTAAGCTAAAGGTTTCTTTTCTATTTTTTTGTTGCTGTCTTTGCTTTTTCTTTTCTTTACTTTGTTTTTTCGTGAATATGTTTATATTATAAAGAAGTTTAATAAATTTTAAATGTTTTTCCCACTTTGCTGTCAAGAAGAGGATATACAAATTTAGCTATATATGCTCGTATTGCTCTTCAAAACTCATAGATATTGTGGGAATTAAAGCATTTAATTCAATTGTTTTTAAGTGTTTGCTGTTAGTTTTCATTAAAGTTAGTTTTTGCTGCAAGTTATTTGCTTAAGCTTGAGAATAGTAAATTAAAAGAAAATTTAACCTGCTTTTGGCTAAAAAAAACAATTGTTATATATCTTGTTGTTAAGATTAAGGGAAATAGAAAAGTTGTGAAAATTTTTTAAATTTGAAATATAATATCTTCATTTTCATTTGATTACGGCAAAAGTTCTAAAAGCTCTTTTGGTGCTGTAATTTAAAAACATTTGGTCCTTCGGATCGAGTGCTTTATTACTAATGATAATAGTTTGATATATATTATAAAATTATATAATTTCTTTATAGAAAATGAATAACTCCTTAAAAAAGATAAAGTAAAAAAAATTTATAAATTATTTTTAAATTATTAAAGTTTTTCCTTTATACTGTTACAAAAAATAATATTAACTTATTTATATTAAAAAAAAAACTTCTAATTACACAAATTACATTACTTCAGCAGAAAATCTGCAATTAGGTCCTTCGAAACTTAAGAATTCTTTAAAATCTACGAAAAGTGTGACCTCCTAAAGGAGTAATTATACATACTCCTTTAGGAGCTAAGTCTTTATAAGTAAATATTGCTTTATATGTACATATTCAGGCTAAAAAAAACTACATGAAAAAGAAATAATTTTCATAACTATTGTTATACACAGAAAAGTGTGACATATTATGCCAGCCCAAAAGTATGCTAAGAGCGTGCAAAAACTCAACTTGCTACATTGAAATAAGAGTATGCAAGTGTATATGTGTGTGTGTGATTGTGCAACGGAATATAAAAGTGTATGTATGCCAAATATGAATAAATCCAGAAAATGCAAACACATTCAAACAATACTAACATCTTTTAAATGTTTTTTTTTATAATATTTTCCATTTTTTTAGATTTTTTAATATTAAAACAAAAAACTCACATACGTATATAAATATGTATACATATGTATATGTACATATGTATGTATATTTATTTGTATGTATTTTTTATATGTATGTTAAAAAAATACCTTAAATATAAAACTTTTTCGTCATGTTTCCTTTTGTTTAGTAAATAATAACAACATAAAGTTGTAACTGCTTTAAAAATAAGTTTTAAAAAAGATTTTCTAAATTGTATAGAATATGCATAAATTTGCACAAACTTAAAAAAAAGTTAACTAAATTTAAAATTTTTCAAATTTCATAGAAAATCATTTAACTTTTTTATTATATTTCTCTAGGGTCCTTATCTTTTTATATATATTTTTTTTGCACTATTTTAACTGATTTAAATTCAAAGATTTTACTGCTCTCTGTTAGTTTTTTATTTAATAGTACTTCTTTTTAAGTTTTCTCTTACTTTTTTTGTTTACCTTTTTACCACTTCGTTTAAGAAGTTTGTAATGCATTTTTGTTAAAATTAAACTTCCTAGTTATTTCTTTTTTTTATTATTATTATTTTAATATTTACATTTATTGCATTTTTCGTGTTACTACTGGTCGTTGGCACAAATATCCTGCGTGCTGTTTTTTTTTTCTTACTTTTCTTCTGTAGCTTTTCTCTTTCTTTTTATAGGATTTTTTTTAATAAACTCACACAGTAGTTTTGTATAGTGTAAAAGGAGTAAAAAGAAGTGAGAGGATTGCATGTATAAAAAAAAAAGAATGAATGAAAGCAAGAAGCCCACAAGGCAAAGAAGTTTTTGTGTTCGTATGTGTGTGTAAGCTTTGATGGCCTCAATGAATATGTCGCCTGCATTGCAAGGACTTTATAAAATTCCACATATACAAAAACCAGAATCTGTTTTAACATGCCGGTTTTATGTGTGTGTGGGACAGATTTTTTTTGTTCCTTTCTTCAACTCTTATGGATTTCTTTTAAAGTGTAGTATATACCTTTGGAAATACATAGTAAATAAATATATGCATGTGCATGCATAAAGGAAATCATTTCAATACTTTACTTAGATTTTTTTCTAATAAAGAAAACACACAGAGAGATTGAGAGAAAGGACACATTTAAATAAGTATTTGTATTAATACGCCTACACTATATGTTTTCTTTAACTGTAAATTCTAGAAGTTTCCGGATATACACCTCTTATAATAAGTAGAACATAACTATTATTTTCAACAATATTCTTAAGATTTTTATATCCTACAATTACCTCCTATCGGCTCAGAGTCACTTTATAAGGCGATTAATCTATGCCCGTCTGTCCATCTGTGTGTAAACCTTGTGCGCATATTCCAGGACGCAATTTTCACTATGAAATTCGGTACATACTTTTCTCTTGGCCCATAGACGAAACCTATTGAAAATGGTTGAAGACGGTCCATTATTTCACCTAGCCCCACTACAACTGTAACCCCCGAATAGAACTATTGAGTTCATAATTTTGTTTTCGACAATATTCTTATAATTTGTATACCCTACACCCACCTTAAAGAATACCTATCGGCTCAGAATCACTTTCTGAGGCGATTAATCTAAGCCCGACTGTGTGTCCATGTAAATCCTTTGCGCATGCTCCAGGTCGTAATTTTCAGGATGGAATTCGGCATATACTTTTCTTTTAGCTCATGGACCTTTTGAACCTATTGAAAATGGTTGAAGTCGGTACATTATTTTACCTAGCCGCCCTACAGAACTATTGAGTTCATAATTATGTTTAATGTTCTAGTATCTCTACAAAATATTACTGCCGATTTTCTTCACGATCGTTTGATCCTACACAGAGGGAAAAAAAGTATACACGCCTGGTACCAAATTGACAACAAATTTTTCAATAACATCCGTTGCACATCTGTTGTCTAAAACTTAACATGTGTGGTAAGCTCAAAATCCGTTGTCAATAATGAGCTTACCATGTTTGTTAACAACGGATGTGCATAAAATTTAGATTGCGACAATGTTGACAACGTTGCGTGGTCAACATTAAATGTTGTTGTTGTATGTATATACTTGACAATGAATGTTATTGAAAAATTTAGTGTCAATTTGATACCAGGCGTGTATATTTTTTCCCTCTGTGTAGTTCTCATACAAAGTCCCCTTCAGAAAATGTCTTGAAGGAAAATAATTCACTTATAAACTCTAGTATTATAATGAAATTCTTGATAAAGTAAACGTAAATCCCTCTACCAGGTTTCTTCTTTGAATTTCTGTAATAAAAAAATACAACTTTATTTCATATTTTTTTTCAAATTTTATAGATTTAAGCATTCCAATTAAATTTAATTTACAAAATTAATATGAAAATTGCTTATAAAAATTAATCTATATAACTTTTAGTTTGAATTTAAAGCCTGAAAATATTTTACAAAATATTTCAATTATAAATCCTGTGCATAATATTAAAAAAAAGCTTTTCTACCTCTACTATACCAGCATAATAAGACTTTCATATTTTCCAAACTATTAAGAGACAGTTGAATAAATACACCAGTGGTAAAGTAAAAAATATATATTAAAAAACTATTGCAAAATATTCAACACAGAATTTTTTTTTAATAAAAAATATTCTCTATAAAAAGAGCTGGTGGTCATACTTATTTGTTATATAAATACTACATAAAAAATTTATTGATTTTTGTTTATTATTACTTGTTTTACTTTTTTTCAATACTATAAAACATACCTGTCGTTTTAAGCTCAATACAAGTCCTTCCACTTGTTTGCCGGAACTGAATGCTTGTAATAAACCATTATGGAAATCATCGTTGCCATAGAGACCTGTAATATATAAATAAAAAAAATCTATTAAAATATTTCTGATAAAAAAAAAACAAACTAAAAAATTAAACATAAAATTAGTGATAACAAGAGAGTAGATAAAAAAAGCCGACTTTAATACCACCAATGAAGTATCAATTGACCCTTTTTTGTTAATTGAATTTGTTGGGTAAAGTCAATGATCTCAGTCTATGGCTATGGCCATATAATCAATATTAAAATTGAAATTATATGCAGCTAAAAAATAGCACTATTAAACGAAAAACAACAAAGCAATCAGCCAATTCTGTTGAAGCCCTATGCTTACAATACAGATCAAAGTAGAAAGGAATGCAAGAAATTGAGAGAGAAAATAAAAACGTTGGCCCTTTTTTATACAGTCAATTATCATAAAATGTTCTTCAGACACAAGGCGATACAAAATACTGCAAGAAATTGCAATACATATTAAATATGTATGCATTTTCCATTTATATTATTAAAAATAATTGGTATAAACCAGAGGTTGGCATAAAGAGTATTTGTCTTACTCAGCAGACAGGACACGGTTATGTTAAAAGCAAAAAGATTTTTGTGATTTTTGTTTTTAAAGTTTTTTTTTTTTTTTTTTTTTTTGAAATGACTCAGTCCCTGTTGGCTTTGAAAGCCGATCACAGAAAATTTTAAATCTTTGCTGGTTAGTTTTTATTGCTGTTGTGTCTTACTCTTTGTTGGTCCTTGTTTGTTTCCTATATTGTGAGTCAGTGTCTTGGAAATGAGCAAATTATGCGCTTAAATTCTTAACAATCAAACATTTTACTAGATTGTATTACAACAATTATAAAAACAAACTTACATTGTATTCATTCATTTCTTTATTTATTTGTCTATATACATTTATCTATGTATGTAGGTGGGTCTGTTACGAAGAACTCTTACTACCAGTCATCACCCATCATACTCTTAGTGTTGTTAGTGAAATTAAACCACAAATACAAGACGCGAATAAAAAAAATATTACAATTTGTAGAAAACTGAAATAGGGTCGGAAATTGAATTATTTTCCCGCATAGTGAAGTCAGTCCAAACAAAACAAATAAACAAACAAAATATAATAATAATGGAACAGAACAGACAAACAAACAACCAAGCAGTTAGGCAAGGCTAGCACCCAAGCAAACCATACGGTACAGTCAGTCAGTCAGCTTGCTTGTTTGCCTGCATCTATAGACCCAACCAAGCGTTCACTCTGTTGGCATCCTTTTATTTTTTATATAATTTTTTTTTGTATGTCACTTAAGCCCTTAATCCTTAAAATAATTGTATTTTACAATAAAAAAGCACACATACAAAAAACCATTCTCAAAAATATAAAAAATGAAATAATAACAAGAAGACAACGACGACGACGACACACTAACAAGAAGATAAAAAAAAAATATTATTATTTTTTTAAACAACATTTGGAACAGTTGACAAAATGAAATGAAAACAGACAAACTAGGGAAGAAGAGAGGGAGAGCGGCAGAGCAATGGAAAAAACGAATGAAATTGTAGCAATTGTAGCATACAGAACTGATTATAATAAGTCAGTGACAGGACAACATTCGTAGTCCATAATGTTTACACGGTAGATATGACAATAATAAGTCGTCTACTCCTACAATAACTACAGTCTGATGTGGTATGCTGGCTCACTCACCCACAGATTTTAAATTACAATGTTATTTATTGGTGGCATAAGCGAAATGCATTCATTCATTGTCTGTAAAGATGTTATTAAACCTTTAGTAGGGGTGAGAAATTGGATGCAACTTTGCTCTAGAAGCATTTTTACTTAGAGAGATCATTAGATAAGCATAGAATGATAATTTTGACTATTAAGCTTTCGTTTAAACTTAAAGGGGAGGGTATAACTCCTTCTTGATAAACTCCCACTGATCTTGTATGAAGCGAGATCAGATTGATTGAGAACTATTCTTACTTAGATAGATCATTAGGCAAAAAATTTTGTTTAAACCTAATCGGGGCGGGTCTATAGGATTTATATCGGCTTCTTAATATATTACCACTGAACTTGCATGCACCAAGATCACAATGTTCATCATCAAAGGACGTTAATTCGAAAAATCTTTGGTTTAGAAGTATTCTTACTTTAGCCAAGCATACAAAGATCATTTTTACTGTACAGTTTTCCTTTAAATTCTTCTTAATATACTCTCACTGATCTTGTATGCAGCAAGATCGCTATGTTGATTATCAAAGGGCGTTAATTCGAAAAATCTTTGATTTAGAAGTACTCTTACTTAGACAAAGCTTTAATTAAGTACACAATGGTCTTATTAACTATATACACTCTGTTTAAAACTAATTGAGCCGGGTCTACAGGATTTATATCCCTTCTGGATCTCACTGATCTGAAAGTTGATCATCTAAGAAAGTTAATTATGTCTTTCTGTCTCAGGGATCTACTTTACTAGTTTGAACTTTTTTTGCTCCTACCGACTTTTAAGGGTTTAAATATAAATCTGTGTTTTTTCACTTTAATCTTTATGTCCATACAAGTCTTGTATTTACTTTGTAAAAAAGAAGAAAAATATTTCTTTTTGTTTTACTTTTTATTTTCAATTATAAATCTTTGCATTTGTTTCTTTACTCTTCTCTCGTTTTGTTGGTGTTTTTTGTCTTTTTGTTTTCTTGTATAGTACTTACCCAAACCTATGGCAGCACATGTCATCAATGTAATAATCACCAAAGAACAACTTTGACATCTTTGTGCGCTGGGTTTTCGTTGCTTACGGTCACAGCAGCGTGTGAGCAGATATAATAGTAAGCCAAACAGTGATAATATTAATAAACCGGCGGGAATTGAAGCCAAAATGCCCAGACTCTGCAATTAAAATAAATAACAAAAAAAAAAAAGAAAATAAGTTTTTTAATATGCAAATTTATATAAAAAAAGTCATAAAACAAGTGTTTAAAATTAATTAAAAATAAAAATACGATTATTTTAAAAAAATCAATATAAATTATTTTAAGTTAAATTCTCATAATATACTTTTAAGGCTACAAAATCTAAATCATTTATTTACTCTAAGATTTACAACAACCCACACATGAAATTCATTAAATTTGTTTTAATTTGAAAATTACCCTTGCGTAATGAATTGCAATTTAAGCAGACATACTCATACACACACATGTCTAAGCGCATTTGGCCTCCTAAAGCTGTTTTTGACAAACAATAGTAAATGTCAAACACAACAAAATTTTCACAATTTCTGAAACCGGAAATAGTATTTTTTCGTTAATGCTATTAAATTTTGTTGTTGTTGTGTAAACACTCTTCATACCCTTATAAAGAGCAATGAAAGATTTCAATGAATATAATAAAGGGTTTTAATGTAATTTACGAATTTAAAGTCTTTTTTTCTGAATTTGAATTTTATTTCACATTAAATGAAGCAGTAACTTGAGTCTTAATATAGAGTTGAAGGAGGACAATACAAATAACACATCAACACATCTTTTTTTAGCAATAAATACAATAACTAAATAAGTAAATATATACATTTCTATTATATTATACTTATTTACTGGTACATAAAGTGAAGAGCAAGTATCTATCTAACCAAATAGATATTTTCCAACATTTAAGAACAACAACAACATGCACATTATAAATGTTTATTATAATATAATGTGGAAAAATGATTGTAAATAGAATTATCATAATGTCATGGAGTAGCTACTTATGATGATAGTTGAAGTATAGATATATAGAGATGATGACGATATTGATGATGATTGTTTAGAAGAAGAATGTCAAGAAAACATATACATGAAAATAAACCTGAACTGTTTCTTTATACTTTATACTTGTATCTTGTTCGGTTTGGTTGCTACTCATAGTTGTTGTCCATGCATCAGTGCTCAGGATTTTTACAACTAAATCACGTACGTACGAAAACAACAAGAACAACAAGAAAAATCGTTGTAGATGTGTAAAAACAACTTATGAGTGTAACGTGTAGAGTGCAAAAGTTTAAATGCAAAAATTTATTGGTGTGGGAAAAATTCATTTCTGTAGGAGTTTTACTTTAAATCTTCGCACTAACCAGATTGCATTAAGAAATCTTGACAATTATCTCCAAAATTCTTAGAAAAATATTCTTAGTTTTTAGTCTATAGTCTAGTCTAGTCTATAGTCTAGTCTATAGTCTAGCCTATAGTCTAGTCTATAGTCTAGTCTATAGTCTAGTCTATAGTCTAGTCTATAGTCTAGTCTATAGTCTAGTCTATAGTCTAGTCTATAGTCTAGTCTATAGTCTAGCCTATAGTCTAGTCTATAGTCTAGTCTATAGTCTAGTCTATAGTCTAGTCTATAGTCTAGTCTATAGTTTAGTCTCTAGTTTTGTCTATAGTCTAGTCTATAGTCTAGTCTATAGTCTAGTCTATAGTCTAGTCTATAGTCTAGTCTATAGTCTAGTCTATAGTTTAGTCTATAGTCTAGTCTATAGTCTAGTCTATAGTCTAGTCTATAGTCTAGTCTAGTCTATAGTCTAGTCTAGTCTATAGTCTAGTCTAGTCTAGTCTATAGTCTAGTCTATAGTCTAGTCTAGTTTAGTTTATAGTCTAGTCTAGTCTATAGTAGTCTATAGTCTAGTCTATAGTCTAGTCTAAGTCTAGTCTATAGTCTAGTCTATAGTCTAGTCTATAGTCTAGTCTATAGTCTAGTCTATAGTTAGTCTATAGTCTAGTCTAAGTTCTAGTCTATAGTCTAGTCTATAGTCTAGTCTATAGTCTAGTCTATAGTCTAGTCTATAGTCTAGTCTATAGTCTAGTCTATAGTCTAGTCTATAGTCTAGTCTATAGTCTAGTCTATAGTCTAGTCTATAGTCTAGTCTATAGTCTAGTCTATAGTCTAGTCTATAGTCTAGTCTCTAGCTCTAGTCTATAGTCTAGTCTATAGTCTAGTCTATAGTCTAGTCTATAGTCTAGTCTATAGTCTAGTCTATAGTCTAGTCTATAGTCTAGTCTATAGTCTAGTCTATAGTCTAGTCTATAGTCTAGTTCTATAGTCTAGTCTATAGTCTAGTCTATAGTCTAGTCTATAGTCTAGTCTATAGTCTAGTCTATAGTCTAGTCTATAGTCTAGTCTATAGTCTAGTCTATAGTCTAGTCTATAGTCTAGTCTATAGTCTAGTCTATAGTCTAGTCTATAGTCTAGTCTATAGTCTAGTCTATAGTCTAGTCTATAGTCTAGTCTATAGTCTAGTCTATAGTTTAGTCTATAGTCTAGTCTATAGTCTAGTCTATAGTCTAGTCTATAGTCTAGTCTATAGTCTAGTCTATAGTCTAGTCTATAGTCTAGTCTATAGTCTAGTCTATAGTCTAGTCTATAGTCTAGTCTATAGTCTAGTCTATAGTCTAGTCTATAGTCTAGTCTATAGTCTAGTCTATATTCTAGTCTACAGTCTAGTTTATAGTTTAGTCTATAGTCTAGTCTATAGTCTAGTCTATAGTCTAGTCTATAGTCTAGTCTATTCTATAGTCTAGTCTATAGTCTCGTCTAGTCTATAGTCTAGTCTACGTTCTAGTCTATAGTGTAGCCTTTATGCTAGTCTAAAGTTATAAGTTAGTAGTGTTCTAAAATTTTAATTTTTCATGTCTGTAGCAGAAATTGCTCTTGCACCTACCTAATACATATATTTGGAGTGCTGGTACATATAATAATATTTTTATACGAAGTACTTTCATCTTTGTATGCTAGAGTCTGTCTGTCTTTTTGTCCGTCCATTTGTACTTTTGTACAAAAAAACTAAACTAAAATTGAAACTACAACTTCATACAACTTGTATTTACTTAACACGAATAAAAGTTCAATTGTTTGCGATTTTCCTTTTTATTTCAACATTATTCTGTTTGCAACACACACACTCAAAGAACACAATAACCGACTCCATTATACTCTACACTTTCTATGGTGTGAAAGTGAAGTAAATTGCATAGAGCGATGAATGAATGGATGAATGAGCAGTAGTGGGTGGAGTTTTAAAAGCAACCTGCTTTTATATGGATATTAATACAACAACAACAAAAAGTTGAAAATGAAAGAAAATAAACTATAAATACACAAGTTACATGTTTTACAATTTTAATTTAAATTTAACCAAGAACATAAAAGAGGAAATGCATAAACTACCGTATTGACATTATACAGGCGGGCAGCAAGTCAGCACTATAAAAAAAAGTTTTGCTATAGAACGGAAATAAAAATGACGTGCTTTGAATTCATGTAGTTATTCATGAACTATTCTCAATATAATTATTCTAAAGAAAATAATTATTTTTAACTTTTACAAAAATGAAATTCTTGGAAAAGTATTTAGCAAGATTTTCTTGTTGTTATTGTTTAAGAAAACTAAAAGAAATTAACCAAAATAATTTTTAGTATTTTGCTTTTCTGGTTTTTAAGTTTATGATTTCTAGTTTACGTCTTTAGCTTTCTGCTTGTTTTTTTTATGGGAAATCTGCAGTCTGTCTGTCAGTCATTTGTTACACATATGGTTCTTAATTTACTTAAGCATATTGTTTGTCGACTGAACTTCTGCCCCAACATTTAACATTGATTTTGTTTTTTGTAAGAGTGAGAGTATATGTTGGTTTCATACATGTGTATACTCCAGTTTTTTTTTTATAGTGGAGTTTATTTGTTTGAATATTTTTTTTTTCGAAAATATTTCGGTTGCCAACAAGTTATTTTGGTTTGTTTCTTTAAAGGTTGCCACATTTGATGGAAAAAATTAATATTTAAAATCTAAAATTTATAGGATATAACCGGTTTTGACTTGCTAAAAGACTAGCTACATAATAGTACAACGAACTACAGACAAGTAACCGCTTGTGATTACAAATTAATTTTAAAGAATTTAAGCCTATTAGAATATTTCAACTTTTTGAAATTTTCTTGATTTCTTAAAGCCACTTGGCTACCCTGTAGTTTTTGGATACTCGAATCACTATTGAACACTTGTAGACTAGTGCCTTTGTACAACACAATAATTTTGTTATACTTTTTGTTTGTACTGTTTTCCTTTTTATTGTTTCTTTTTTTGTTCAACAAAAAAATATAAAACAATTGCCATTTATATTCCAGCTTTCAATTGGGATTTACGATACATTTTGTTTTTGTTGTTTTACAGTTCCTTTCTTTTTCATTCAAATAAATCATGATACTGGTAAATTGTAGCATGTTGCAATAATACTACAACCACTTTTAACCTGAGATATGCAAAAAAGCATATTTTTCTTTAACATAAAATATTAAAAAGAAAACACTTGTACCATAAACAGATTTCTTTAAAAAATTAATGGATATTTTGAAATATATATTTTAAATATTATTATGATTTGTATATATAATTCCAATTTTTAAATGAATTTTAATTAAAATGAACAAAACTAGAAATCAATTGCCAAATACATATAAACATATTTATGCCACACACACACACAAATATAGTTTCGATTTTGTAGTTATGTTCTTGCCTTAAATAAATAATGTTTAGCCCAAAACTTTTGCAGCAATTTATCACATGTCAAAAATGTTTACAATAACTTTTCAATGTGTCAATAATACTGTCAACAATTGACAAGGCTGCAATTGTATTATTTAATAGAATCTTTAATACAAATTGCATTTAGAAATGTTATAACTTGTATTACGATAAAAATAGATTTTTTGAAACATAAGAAATTTTCTTAAATACATAACAAAAAATAACTTCTCAAGAACTCAATGACATAGGAACGAATGATCTCTTCAGTTTTGTGTTAAACTAGGAATGCATTCACTTCTTTGGAAGGCTTTAAACATCACTACCAAAG